ATCCTGGTGACCCGGGACACAGAGGGGGACTGGTGACCTCAGTCCAACCCTGCGTCCCCACCCAAGCCACACCGCCCACGCCTGGGCGCCACTCACTTCTGCGTCCCTTAACCAAACCCCCTGCCTGCACCCTCCAGATCCGGCGGAACCCTGGGGGCACCCCAACTCCAGCACCCCTCTTTCCTCCTGGAGCCCCGTCCGCTGCTGCCGCACTGGTCCAGCCTCGGCCCGGCTCCTTCAGCTCCTGGCGCCCCCTCTGGACCTGGTAACCCCACCCCACCCCACGTGCCCTGGCTCCTGGGCGCCGTGCGCTGCGCCCGGCCAGCCTGGCGAGACCACCGCGGTCCCTGCTTGCCCAGCCCCCGCCCGGCCCTACCTGCACCCACCGGCCCTGCGAGTGCAGCAGCAGCACCACGCTGGGGTCGGATTTGGTGAGTGGGTCGCGGTCCAGCAGGTGCCGGCAGCTCACCCGCAGCTCCACCTTCGAGGCACATGGCGCGGGCACCACTTTGGGGGCCGCCGCCGCCCCGCGCTCGCAGCCCGCGCTCATGCTCCTGGCGCTGGCGCCGGGACCCGGCTGGGCGCACCGAGGGGCCGCGCGCGGGCTAAAGATGGCCTGGCCAGGCGTGGCCGCGCATCCTTGCACGGGCGCGGGCACACGTGCCTCCCTCCGGCGCCACAACCGGGGACTGTGGTGGGGGCGGGTGAGACAGGGGAGGGGTCAGTGGAGGGGGCGGGGCCTGCGAGTTGTGGGTGGTGATGGGGGGGCAGAGGATAGGGCAGTGGAGGGGGGCCTGAGAGGGAAGAAGCTGGGGAAAGGGTGGCCCTGGGAGGGGTGTGGGGGTGGGCTCAGCTGGGGCCCACCCAGGCCACCCTCCACCCGGCATCCCCTCTGGGGTCTTCTGGGTTGGCAGGCCTGGGCTGAGTCGGGGTTGGGGCCAGGGTGTGCCCTCCCGGACTGTGCTGGCCCACAGGAGCTCCGAGGTGGGGTGTCCTGGGAGGGTGTGCAGAGCAGGCCAGTGTCCTGGGCCTGCCTGAGTAAGCTGGACCCTGTCACCCAGCTCATGAGGTGAGGGGCAGGTCACACACAGAGGGGTGTGGGGCCACCCGGTGCCCCTTTTTCCACCCCCAACCTCTGCGGCTGCCCCTCTGGGAAGCTGGCTTCGGAAACCCGCTTGGAGCTGCTCTCTGGGTCTCCCACCCCCGCTCTCTCTCTCTCTCTCTCTCTCTCTCTCTCTCTCTCTCTCTCTCTCTCGCAGTCCAGCTTTCCAGGGGTGTGCGGGGCGGGGCGGGGGGCTCTGAGTCCTTCACCCACCAGCGCAGCCCACAGGCTGCAGGGCGCCTCTCCCCAGAGCCAGCTTCCCCAGGATGCCTGTCCAGCCGGCACACCGGACAGGACCCTTTGCCCATTCTGAGCCCCTGAGGCCCCAGGATGGACGCCTGGGTGAGCAGCAGACTCCAGGGGGAGGGGCGGGGCAGGCGCAGCAGCCCCTGACGAGGCTCAGGGTCTTCCCTGCCTGGCTCCTCCGGCCAGGCCTTGGGGAACAGGCTGACCCCCAAGCTCGACTTCAGCACCAAGGACAGCGCCGGCACCTGCTCCCTGGGGCTTCACTGCACAGCTGCCAGAGAGGAAAGGGGGGCATCAGTGGGTGACTCGCCCTGATGGCCAGGAGGGCTCCCGGCCAGCTGCTTGACGTCACATGGTGAACATGTGATGATAAGGGACGGTAAGGAACAGGTGATGTTTCCACCGGCGGCAAATTCAGAGGTGGGGAGTTCAAAAGTTTCTGAGCCCAGAGAGTCTAAAGAATGTACTTGGGTCTCCCACCACAGGCTCATGGTGACAGGTCCCACGGGGGGACCCTGGGCCTTGGCCCGGGGACCCGGCGACACTAACAGAGAGAAGCCACCAAGGGCAACACAGGCGTCCTTACAGCCCTGGTCTTTGAGGTGCAGGCTGGCTGCTGCGGGGCTGCTGTCCCCTCCTTGTTGGGCTGGGCCAGGGTGGAGGGCAGGGCGAGGCTGCAGGAAGTGAGGTCCACTTACCTCGCGGATTCTGTTGTTGTTTTACAGGGAACAGTACCATGTTCCCTGTTGCAAAACTAGGAAATGAGGATGAGCGAAAGGTTAACATTGGACGTTCACCCCCCACTTTCCCCCCGTGTTCTAAGTTTCCACAAGTTGCCCCTTCACCACGTGGGGCATGTCGGACAGCCAGCTGCAGGGACCGTCCGGTCCTGTCACATCCAAGAGCTGAGTCCCTGGGCCTCAGGCCGGGCCCAGCATGTAGTTGGCGCTCAGTGTGGTTGTGTCCAACCCAGTCACATGGCTTCTCTTTGGTCACCCATTTTCCCCCCTTTTGAGTGACAACATTAGCTGGCCTTCCTCTGTGCCATTGACAAACACTGTTGCTCCAAAGCTCGTATGTTGAAACCCTAACCCCCACGAGACCATTCAGGAGCCCCCAGGAAAGAGACCCTTCCACCACTGGCCAGCGTGAGGCTGTCCCCAGATGCCTGACTTGCCGGCACCTCTGTCTTGGACTTCTGGCCTCCAGATCTGAGGGCTAAGTGTGGTGTCTGTTTCTGCAGCTGGGTAGACTGACGGTTCACACCTGCAGCAGGAGCCAGGGAGCTGCAGCCCCCGGGGCCAGATATGACAGCTGCCTGTTTTGTTAATGAAGTTTTATTGGAACACAGCCACACCTGTTCATTCAAAGAGTGTCTGTGTCTGATGTTCTGTAGGAGCAGAGCTGAGGTGCTGTCACTGAAAGCCAGAAATACTTACTGCCTCACTTTCTGGTCCTGTAAGAAAAGTTTTGGTAGGCCTCGGTGAGGATATGGGCCCAGGGACAGACAGGACACTGTCCAAGAACAGCTCTTCCTCTCTGGTTATGCTGCCTCTGTCCCTGCTGTGCCCAGAGGCCTGCCCTGGGGACCTCTGTGCTCAGCCGCTCTGCGATGGCAGCCTGCTTGCCCAGGGCAGGGGGTGAATGGCCCCTGGGCAAAACACCCCAGGGACTAAGGAAACTGTGCACAGAATCCCACCAGCTGGGTGGCAGGGCTGCTTTGGATGCTGCAACTGTCTGGCCTCTTCTTCTAAACCAGCCGGCAGCTCAGACTCGGCCCAGCTGAGCTGAGAGGTAAGCAGGACCCTCGCCAGCTAGAGCCCATCCCAGTCTTCAGGGGGGCACCCCGCTCCCCTCCCACCCTTCCCGTTGTCATCGGCTGTGGTGTGTCCCTCTGGGGTAGTCAGGTCCGCAGTATAAAGTGAATTATCATGTGAGCCTTGTAGCACATGACAGCTTAGATGTCGCCATGCCGCTGAAATGAGGTCGGTCTGTGGCTTTTAGCAGAGAGTGAGTGGCAGATGGGTAATTTATGATGATTCTTGAGACCTGAACTATAATTATGAAGCATTTTGAGGTGTATATTCAGGATGCAAAGTATAAAGAGCCCACAGCTAATGTTAATTTATCACTGACAGCTGTATATATAATAATATATCACATCGTGTAATCTTACATCCCTTCTGACTTACATCAAGCAATCTTTTCATTCACTAATAAAATCAAGCCTTGTCATTATTCTTAATGATGAAGTCCCGTTCCCAGCCCGGAGGGGTCCTATCGTTAAACTCCTGACGTCCAACTAGCAGGCACCTGAGGCTTGAAACAAGGACAGATTGAGCTCTTGTTCCGAGGGCCTGGAGACAACGTGGGAAACCCAGAGTCCCGCAGCCCCACGGGGGCAGAACCCAGAGTCGGGAAAGTGTCTGTTGACCTTCTCAGCCACAACCCCACGTTCTCTTCTCCCTTGTAGCCTTCCCGCCTCCTCTCCCTCTTCAACAGTCATTCGTTTTTGGAGGCAGCATATTCAAAGTCTACTTTTTAAAGGTCAAGATAACAATACAATGAAAAGGACTCCATGCTAACTTGTATCCTCCAATTCTCTGTGCTGTGCTTAAGACGTAGAGGATTAATCTCTCCCCCCACCAAAATCTACTCTAATCTTATTACACCAAAGATGGGGTGTCCTTCGTAAGTAACAAGTTGGTCTTCTCAAGTTCCTCGTGGTTCGATGCCTCGTCCACCGTAGAACCTGTCCTTGCCATGGCAACACACCCCCTGCACTGCCCTTGGGTGCCACCCAGAGTTCTAACAGTGCTCCGGTTCAGGCTGTCTGATAACACCGAGTGTTACCAGACTCCCACTTTAGAGGAAACAGACCCATGATGCTTGTAGAAGCAAAACCTTTAACCTCGGCAACTGATGAATGGCCCCACAACGGAGCCATGAGACCTGGGAAGGTGGGGACTCAGTCGTCTGGGCCATCGCTCCTGCAGAGACAGAACCGGATTCCACCGGGGAGGTGCTAGATAACTGGGTGAGCAAGCTTCCCGTCTGTGGCACCAAATCTTACTGTGATTGGTTCATCAAACCAGGATGAACTCGTTCTGGGAGATGTCCACAAGTCCAAGGAAACTATGTCTGAATGTCTTTGTGTTTCTCTGACTTGAAAATGTGTCATTTAGCTTCGTATAGGAAGAGAATCACTGAGGGTTCGCTGCCCTGGCTTTTCTAAGTCACCCAGGTTTTCCTGCTGGACTCAGCATCTCATACCGTGTCTGTCTTCAGGGATGAAGGTGCCTGTTCTTCCATTAACGTTCGTGTCTGCCCGGAATGGCTTCTTCCCATTGGTTGTGCCTCTTCCAGTGACTTCAAGGAACAGAGGAGGTGTGTCAGTCAGCAGTGGCTGTCCTGTGGCAGTGACAGACAGGTCCAAAATCTCAGCGACTTCCTCTCCCTACAGACCCACCGTCCAGCGACTCTAAAATCTAGGCTGAACCACCATTGGTCCTCCAGCCAGCGGGAACAGTCCTCTGGGCAGAACTGCACTGGCCACTAGATGCTCCAGGAATGACGTGGTGCCCCTGGCTTCTGGCCACAATACACAGCCCCTCCCCCTTCACAGGCCACGCCTCTCCGAGCCAGGCGTTCAGTTGAGCCTGGTGCTGACGAGGTTTCGAGACTGGAGAACACTGGGGGAGATCATCACACGAGGACCAAACTTTCACTCACCTCCCTTCCCTTGGGTGAGCAGCCCCTCATTTGCCCCAGGCTATGGTTTCCCCCCTGATCGAATGAATGATGCTCCGATTTCGGGTCTGCCCACTTTCTGAGCCTCTCTGGGGTGTTATGAGCGAGGAGTGTTTGTGTTGGCAGCAGAAGGGAAGGGAGGAACTTGCACATTGACTGTTTGAGCTCCCTTTTAGGTATTTCTGGGTTTCTTCGTTGTTGTTTTTTCCTCCCACCCTTCCATGCTAATCTCCTGCTCAGTCTCTTTTATTGAAAAAAAAAATTTACTCAATCCTTTCTTTCTCCTTCTTCTTAGGTATTTGATCCAATTGGCAAATATTCTGTAAAAAAAAAAAAAGTCAGAATTCTAACTGCTGGTTTCCCAATCGCCAAATATTCAGGTGAATGGGTACAGAAATGCGTATCCCGGGAACCGCGAACCTGTCTGGACGGTGGGTGAGTCACGGGGCCCTCCCTCCCATCTGCCATGCCTGGCCTGCTGCAGAGACTCCGGTGCACCAGTTACTGCCCAGAGGTATCTCGGTCCCGCACTGTGACCAACTGTTCAGTTTAGCTGTCTCCCCACTGTCGCTGGCCCATCTACTGAGGCCAGTCCCATGCACCGGGCGGCGTCCTTAATGCACCCGCATCGTCCAACCACCTGGGCGAAGCCGAGTACAACGCTTTTCTCATTTCGTGTGTTAGCAGCGCCTCAGGGCCGCTAGGGACCCCGGCGTGTTTGTCCCGAGCCAAGACCCAGCGCAACCGCCACGGTGCCCTTAGCGGACAGAAGCCCACAGCCCTAGAAGGAGCTCGTGCTCCGAAAACCCTCCATCCCCCCCCACAGGCGTCCCCGCCAGCCGCCCGCGCATCCTGACGGTGAGCCGCGAACCCCGCTGGGTCTCTGCCCGCGTTCCAGCCACTGAGGGTCCAGCCCGACCTAACGCTGCACCAAGCTCAGAGGCTGCAGAGGACGCTGAGCGAACCCGGGAGGCTGCAGCGACAGCGCGGACGCACAGACACGGCGACCTGGGGGGACACAGGGGACACCTGCCGACTCCGCCCCGACGCCCGGAGGGCAGCGCGGCGACCTCCGGAGCCCACACCCCGTCCCACCGCCAGGAGCCAAAGCAGCCGGGTCCCAGGGACCCTTTGGGAGTGGCCTGTGCGCCGCCCCGCCTCCCGGCGACCTTGTGGGCGTGACCACAGGTGGCTCCGCCCCGAACTAGATCACCTGACCACCGACGGCTCACGTGACCGGCTCCGCGCCGCCATCTTGGGGTTCCGGTGGGAGCCGAAAAGCGGGGAAAAGGAGGCGCGGATCCGGCAGCACGGTGGGAGAGGACGAGGGCGAGGGCGCGGGGGCGCCCGGCCGGCCCCAGGAGGCGCGCGGAGCAGCAGCTGCCGCCGCCCTACCGCAGGTACCGCGCCCCGGGGCCGCCCGTCGCCGCGGCGGGCGCCGCCGCCGGCCATGTGCGCCGCCCCCTGCAGCCCGCGTGAGCCCGCGGCGAGGCCCGTGGCTGCCGGCCGCCGCCGTGCGTCCCCGGCGCCCCGCCGCCAGCACCGCAGGTGCAGGACTGCCGGGGCGCCGCAGCCCAGCCGCCCCGGTCCCGGGGCTGCCGACTGTGGGGAGAGCGCCCGCCTGGTGAGACCGCGGCGCCCGGTACCAGGTACCAGGCGGCCCGCGCGGATGAGTGACAGGCCGGCCGCCCCCGCCGGAGCCCCCTCCACGCAGCGGCAGGGCTTGGGGCGCGTCCGCGGAGCAAGCGCGGCCTTTCCAGCCTTCGGCCTGTGTGGCGTTCACCCCGGGCGAAGAGCGAGAGCTTTCTGCCCTGGCTGTGAACTTAGCCGTAACGTCGCGCTCCGGCGTAACGAATGCGTACCCTTTGCTCGTTTAGATTCTTTCCAGATGGGAAAACGGCCGGGAGCCAGGCGCTGTGTGGCCGGGGTTGACCTTGCGTCCGTGGGCTGCGGGTCGCCCCCCGCGTGTTGTCCTTGGAGGCTGCCGGGGCCGCGCACCGTGCCGAGGGAGCTGTTTGAAGTTTGCAGAATCACCCTTTAAGCCAGGAGTGTCCAGCCTTACGGCGTCTCTGGGCCATACTGGAAGAAGAGTTGTCTTGGGCCCCGCATTAAATACATTGCAACGTGTAATCACAAAAAACTCTCAAATGTTTTAAGTGAACTTACGACTTTGTGTTGGGCTGCATTCGTAGCCATCCTGGGCTACATGTAGCCCCGGGGGCCCCAGGTTGGACAGCCCTAGAACTGTGTTCAATTAGGATTGAGAGAGCAGTGTGAAAAGTGGTGTCAGTAAAACCAGTCCTGTTCTGAGCAGGTTAGATAAATTCTGAGCTAAAGCATAAAATGCACAGTTACTGGAGAAATTTCCAGAGCTGTTTTCCTTCTAACTTGTACAGAATCCCAAAGTTCACTTAGGAGATAAGTAATGTAAGTTTGCATCACCGCATAGGCCTCCTAGGGGTCCTTTTAACACAACATTGAGTCCCACTGCCCCAAAATTGTTACTTTGTTTCACCAGGTAAGAGAAATGGTTGGTTTCTACACACTTTTGTCCTTGGCCACAGCTGGATTTTGAAGATTGATCCAAGGGACTGTTAATTTCAGGAGCTGACTAGAAAAACATTGGCTCTGCTCCTTAACGTTGTGTAACCCTGGGTGAGTGGTTGAAACAGGCACCGAGTGTCTTCTTGTGTGTGAGACTGGGTAGCTCCCAAAGAGCAGACACACTTGCGTGGCTCATACAACCCAGCTTGGAGGGGCTGCTACTCGTTTCAGTGCTGCTGCTTTATACAGTTCCATTCTCATAGACAAATAAGTTAGTGTGCTGAGAAAGGATAGGTTTCTGCTTGTACACTGGGACCATACACACCGGGGTTCCAGTTCCTGAACCATGTATTACTTCCTGTCCCAGAGCCTCCTCTGCAGAAAGGAGGTCGCTTTTGTGAGGGCTCCCAGGAGTGCTGGACCTGGGGGCAGGTCGGAGGCCAGGGACCCTCACTGTCACAGCTGCTCAACAAGGTTAGACCTGAATGTTGGTTCACATCAGTTAGACCTCATGTGTTCCTTGTAGCTGCCAAACTAGAATTTACTTCAAGCTGGAAGCCAGCTAGGAAATGTTATATTGTGAAATTCACATACCTGTAGTATTTATACTCAGTTATTTCCTTGGTGGCAATTAACAATTACATTAAGCTAAGGAGATTTTAATCAATGGAAATAGCTGACATCAGTAGGTAAATCTATAAATAGCATGTGAGCAGTTTCAGAGTGATTTTTTTTACAGGGAGTTTAGAATTTGGGACATACAAGTTGATCCAGCGCTGCTCTTCTGTTTTACGTTGGAGGAACTTGGTACCCACAGAAACGGCGACTTGTCTGAGGCCCCACAGCCAGATGAGGCTCCCGTAGGAGAGGAGGCCATGAGCGCAAGTCCCTGCCATCTTTTGGCAGAACAAATTTAATGTTTTGTGTTTTAGAATTACAAAAGAAGAATGGGGAATTGGCCATTGCTTCTGTAGCAGATTTTTCTATTTGGAAGAGAGCAAATTGTTGTCTTTAAGAACAGTTTCTTTATAACATAGTGAACTGTCTTTGTGCGGGACAGCAAGTCCCTCCTCTCTCCAGTCCCTGGGAGGCCCGTGTGAGTCGTGCAGCTCGATTTTACTTTGATTGCTGTACTGACTGCTATTCCTGAAAGAAACAAAGTAGGTATATAAATAAACCACATAGCAAAGTATAAGGAAATAAAGACAGCTGAGTTAATTTGGCTCTTTAATTGAAAAAGATGTTCATTGTAACTTCTGCCTGTGGACTGCTCTGCTCTTGTCCGGGAGAGGAGTGAGGCTCAGTGGGAGAGGACGTTAGCACTTCCCTGGTCTGGGCTGCTGCCGCAGCCGTTCGATGCGTCCGCTCTAATGTCCTCGTGTCTGAAGGCTGCAGACAGGAAACCCCTGATCCCCTTCAGCCACGCTGGCCTTTCCAGCAGCCCCTAGACAGCGTGCCTGCTCCCCCTTCCGAAAAGAGGGTGCTGTGGCTGCTCTGCCCTGGCAGTCTCACCCTTGGGTCAACAGAGCCACAAGAGAGCAAATGGCCCCCTCTAAGTTGGGTGATTGAAGATGCAGTTTATGAAGATGCATTTTACCAAAGTTCTCAGAGCCCAGGTGGGACTCGGGCAGGCGAACGGGGGGATACCACGGTTATCTGGAGCAGGTCAGGAGACGGGTGAGGGGCCAGAGCCAGGGGCCTTCTGTAGAGCAGCCTGCCCGGAGGAGCACGGCCTGACAGGGTGAGCTGGGGGGAGGAGGCTGGGAGACGAGCATCAAGGTGTGCCTCTGCTGCCCCGAGCTCCTGTCGTGGCTCCCTGTGGGCAGAGCTCCCCCAGAAAGCAGAGCGCGGGGTCCCAGTGGTGTGCGCCCTCCTGGCACAGATGGCCTGGCAGGGCTGATGGGTGACACCGGCGGGACGCCATGTCTGCCTCACATCTTCAGGAGGCCTCGCTCAGCTTTCCAGACCAGGAGAGCTCTGTGTCTCTGGTTTGACCACGAACTGTCTGTGGTCTCCTGACGTTTTGCCTCAAATACTGTTGCATTGTTTCAAAGTTGTAAATCCCCTTAAACTTCGAAATAGGTTTGTCTTACTCAGCTCATTTTTGAACTGTGAGTACTATAGATTGAAAATCTTTCCATTCTTCCTGGTGCTTTGCTTGGTGCCTTGCGCATAACAGTTTTTTCTGTGACTTTTTATTTCCAAACGTAAGCATTTGCACAAGTAGAACAGCATGATGGACTCCGGGTTCTGATCACTCCAGTCACTCTATCTGCCAGCCTTCCTCCCTCCTCACTCTCTCCGTCGTCCCTGCCGCCCCGTGGCGACACTCTGCACAGTTGCTTTCCCTGCGTCCAGTGCAGGGTACACAACCCGCGTTGCTGCTGTCGCTCAGCCGCTGGACTGGGGTTGGGTTTGTCATCTCTGTTCTCATCTCTTGTTACTCACGTGCATTTCACCCGACGTGCAGTCCCCGGTGTTGGTGCACACTGGTGGCCTAAGTGAACTCTGTGCATGTTGAGAGAGCTGGCGTCGAGGTCAGCCTAGCCGTCTCTGCAGACTTTGTTCCGAGCTGGCGAGCCTGTTCACCGGGGACTTGGGTTTAAGGAGACTTCACTTTGGTGTTGGTTGTTGCACGTGCTTGGACACTGGCTCCTCCGGTGTCTCTCACGGTGTCGTGTCTGCTTCAGAGCTGCTGATTCCGCACTCACCTCGTGCGCGCAGTCTCCACAGTGAGACACATGAGCGCCCAGGGTGATGGACGTCAGCCGCTGGGCTCCCCGAGCACACGGCTTTCACCAGGAGTGTCTCCTCAGGGGGTTTGTTTCACGTGTTTTCCTTGAAGCAAGGTAACCGCTGCTCCTCCTCATTTCACCTTCTTCTGAAGGTGTTCACTGAACTAACCGCAGGGAGCAGTGGGCTCGGCTGCCTCCCTCTGTTCCGTCTCGAAGTGAAGAGGGACAGCCTACGGCTCCCTCGTAGCCTGGGGGTGTGCAGAGTTGCCCCCCAGGCTGTTAGCCTGCGCAGCTCCTGTTTCTTTCATGTTTCTTTGGAAGGAGGCCTGAGATCTGCAGGCGAGCGCCGAGTCTTGTGCTAGAATTGGAATGTTCTGGGGTTCCTGTCGTGAACTCCTGCTCACCTGACGGCAGCTGACAACCGAACTGAAGCACAAAGCCCCCAGTGCCAGCCCTGCAGAGGACTCAGCAGTCATGTGAAGACCGCAGCTCCCCTTGGCCTAACACTGTGGGCCCCGCAGATGGGCAGGTGCCAGAGGAGGTCACAAAGGGTTTTTCTAGAGAAACAGATTTGTCCACGCACTGGCCCCTCTTCAGTGACTGAAGGTGGGTGTGGAGATTTCTTCCTGCCCGAGAAGGAAGTAAGAAACCCTGGTGGTCCTCAGACACAGTTCTCCGGCCTCGTGGTGGTGCAGAAGGAGACGCTGGACTTGGAGCTGTGACCTTGCCCTGGGCTGGAGACGCAAGTCAGAGGCTCTCTTGTGGCTCGGGACAGTGCAGCTCCGGTGAGCCCAGTCTCGAAGCTGCACAGCCCAGACTCTGCAGTGCGGTGCCGAGTGCTGTGTGGCCTGGGAAGTCTGTTCTCTTTTGAGAGGTGATTCTCCCAAGTGGTTCAAGGGAGAGCGGGCCTCGGGGGCACGCACGGCTTGTAGTCCGGGTTGAGTGCGCCCCCCACTGTCAGTGCAGTTGGGTGGGTGGGGGAGGGACATGGTAGTGCTGGAGAAGCCCAGAGCGAACCATTCGAGAGTCTGCCTCGTGTGGACGGGCCCAGACACGGAGGCCCGTGCGCCTGGAAGAGCAGGGACGGACGAAGCTGTGTGAGAGGCTGTGGGCGAGCGTGGGGATGTGTCAGAGCCTGGGGGTCCGTCGCAGGGGCCACGGGTCACCTCAAAGCAGCATTCAGACCCTCTGACCAGGGGTAAGAACAGTGTGGTCTTCATGTCAGCTAGGGCCACTAGGAACGCCGGCGTTTACTCAGTGTTGTAAGATTCCAGAATGCACCTGAAGTACGGAAAAAAGCCTGAACTTAAAAACGTGCTCCAGGGCAACCTGCTGTTCTCACGGTTAGCCAAAGGGAATGTTTGAAGTGAAAGTTATGTCAGGAAACCGAGTGTGTAAGATTTAGGCTTGAAAGAGACCACCAGTGTGTTCCGTGGAGTGACTTCAGTGGCTCTGGCGTGTCACGTTCTGCGGGCCCCGTGCGCGTGTAGGTCCGAAGCTCCAGGGGGTGCTGGGCGTTGGCGTCCCCGAGGCCTCTCCTTCAGGGGGAAGAATCCTGTGTGAGTGATGGTTGACCACTAATGTGACCTCTGGAGAAACCCACAGCACAGTTGCGGTTTGTCCTTGGGAAGAGAGAGGAAGTAAAAGAAGGAACCACGTCGTGGCTTTTGTTTGGTGTCACGTGTGCAGAACTGCTCAGAGTCCGCTGTGCCCTTTCAGTGCCTTAACTACTACTAGTTCCCTAGTCCTTTGCCGAGGAAAAACCAGAAATATATGACTTTAGTAAAAAACTGCAATTCCGTTTGGTATAAGGAGTGCTGTTTCACGGTGACCTGAGCTGGCTCCACGTGCCCTGGGAGGGGCTGTGTTCGCTCAGTCAGTTGTGCGGAAGAGGGGGTACTGATTAGGTTTGGCTGGGTGTGGCGGGGGCTAAGAAAAAAGGAGGTGCAGATTGGGAAAGGCTTTGCAGAGAGGAAAGGAGAGGTGCAGCACTCTCCCTCCTCAGCCCCGACGGGAGCCCTCTCCCCAGAGAGGGGTTCTGAACTGTTCGACCCTCTGAGGGGGCGCAGCGCATTAGTGCGGGGCTCCCCGTGGGAGAGACTTAGGTCGGCACACACCCTGAGACCCGCTGCACCCCCTGAACTGCGCACGTGTGACTGTCCTGTGACCTGCCATCTCTCTGTTGTCTGTTACCCTCTCTAGATATGGAAGAGAGCAGCGGTGTCACCATGCTGGTGCCAGATATCGGGGAACCGGAAGCAGTATTGACTGCCGAAACTGTCATCAGCTCTTCCCTGGAAGTCGACGAGCAGAGCACAGCTAAAACAGACCCGCTGGTCCACGTTATCCAGAAGTTAAGCAAGATAGTGGAGCACGAAAAGTCACAGAAATGCCTTTTAATCGGGAAGAAACGCTCACGTCCACATGCTGGGACGTGCTCCCCCGAGTCCCCCGAACTCTGTGAGATTCCAGCGAAGGTGGCCCAGCCTCCTGCCGCTGCGGCGGCAGCGAGAAGGGCCACGCGGCCCCAAATGCCTGGGGGCCCTGACTCTCCCGCCCAGAATGATGGGAAGGGGATGTCTTACCAGTGCAGCCTCTGCCAGTTCCTATCTCCGTCCTTCCCTGTGTTAAAAGACCACATCAAGCAGCACGGTCAGGAGAATGAAGTGATACTGATGTGCTCCGAGTGCCGTGTTACGTCGAAAAGCCAAGAGGAGCTGGAGGCTCACGTGGCCAATGACCACGAGGACGATGCCAGCAGTCACAGTCAGCCCAGGCCCCGGCTGTGCTCGAGCCCCCCCACCTCCCTGTGTCCGAGACCCACAGAGAGGAATAGCAGGGCCACTCCGGACCTCCCCGTGGGCGAGAGCTGCCCGCAGACGCGCGCCATCCCTGCCGCGCCCACGGCGGACGTGGGGAGGAGGAAGTGGTATGCCTACGAGCAGCACGGCGTGTACCGGTGCCTGTTCTGCAGCTACACGTGTGGGCAGCAGAGGATGCTGAAGACGCATGCTTGGAAGCACGCCGGGGAGGTGGGCTGCTCCTACCCGATCTTTGAGAACGAGAACGAGCCCCTGGGCTTGCTGGGCTCCTCGGCGGCGGCTGCTCCTGGCGGGGTGGACGCTGTGGTCATCGCCATCGGAGAGAGTGAGCTGAGCATCCACAACGGGCCTTCGGTGCAGGTGCAGATCTGCAGCTCCGAGCCACTGTCCCCCACGTCGGCTCTGGAGCCGGGTGTGGAGGCGGCCATCGGCCTCGGCCCGGCGGTGACCCTGGATGCTAACGAGGAGGACGTGCTCGAGGTGATTTCCGACGCGGAGGAGAGTCTGGTGGCGGACAGTCTCCTCTCGTCGGCGCAGAAGATCATCAGCAGCGGCCCCAGCAGGGAGGGCCACGTGAACGTGATCGTGGAGCGCCTGCCCGGGGCCGAGGAGCCTGCGTCCCAGCAGCCGTTCCTCGTGAGCGCTGCGACCGGGGAGGGGGACGGCCCGCACCCAGCGGGAGCCCCGACCGGGCACGACGGGAGAGGTGAGGGTTGTCACACTGACCAGTGCACTGTTGACCTTGGGGGGCTGATCATAGGCTGGAGCAGCGCAGAGAAGAAGGGCAGCGAGTTCCTCCGTCAGGGACTGGCCCCCGATGAGAATGCCCCGCCGGGCCGCAGGAGGACAGACTCGGAGTCTCTTCGTTTACACTCGCTGGCAGCAGAGGCTCTGGTCACAATGCCCGTCCGGGCTGCTGAGCTCACAAGAGCCAGCCTCGGGCACCACGGGAACACGGTCCTGTTGGACCCAGACGCTGGGCAGAGGCAGGCAGACGGCACGTTGGCTGCGTATTCCAAAATGATGTCACCACTTAAAAACTCCTCAAACGGATTAGCTAGTTTTAACCAAAGCAGCTGCCCCTTGGTGGCCCTCCCGGAGGGCAGGCAGGAATTGTCTGAGGGGCAGGCGAAGACAGGTATCAGCGTGTCCTTACTCACTGTCATTGAGAAGCTGAGGGAAAGGACGGACCAAAATGCCTCGGACGAGGACATCTTGAAGGAGCTGCAGGACAACGCTCAGTGCCAGCCCAGTGGCGAGGCCGGGCTGTCAGGCAGCGGTCTGGTGGAGTACGTCCCCAGCGCGGAGCGGCCCTACCGCTGCCGCCTCTGCCACTACTCCAGTGGGAACAAGGGCTACATCAAGCAGCACCTGCGGGTCCACCGGCAGAGGCAGCCCTACCAGTGCCCCATCTGCGAGCACGTGGCAGATAGCAGCAAAGAGCTGGAGAGCCACACGGTTCACCACTGCAAGGCCCGGCTGTACCCGTGCAGGCGCTGCGCGGAGGCCTTCCACTACAAGGTACGCGGGGCCCCAGCCCGCCCGGGAGCCTCAGGGCTGCAGAGCAGGGGTGGGCTTAGTAGCTGCAGTCCTCCCGCACGGCCCGGGTCGGGACACAGGCCTGGGAAGGGCTGGTGGCTGGCCCCGGGGGTCCCAGCCAGGGAGCACCACTGTTGGGCCTGAGATCTGGGTGACCAGGGCCTGTGGGGCAGGACTCCCCTGCCAGCCGCCTCCCTGGCAGCCTCTGGCCCTTGCTGTCGTGGTTGGTGTGTCTCTTCAAGGGCAAGGGGAAGTGCGCTGGAGGGCGCACAGGTGCACACACGTGGTCACACCTTCAACCCACGTCAGCAACACCAAAAAGACCTGTTCTCGCCAAGGCCCCAGAGTGCAGGTCGTCCTGCAGCCGCCACAGGGGTGAACTGCTGAGACTCACCTCCCCGCAGGAGGAAAAACGGGCCGGGAACTGCACAGGGACTGAGAGCTCATGGTCGCTGTGTGGGCCGTTAAGTGTGTGCAAGGGTCACTCTCACTGTGTGACTTTCACCCTGTGTGTGACCTTGAAACGCACAACCAGCGAGAAATGCTGTTTGTGTAAAGGAGACATGCATTCATTGGAGCACTGGTTTACAACTAACCCGGACGGGGGGATGCGCACCTTTTCTGCCAGGTGACGGGGGTGGGGGTCTGGTTGGCAGTAAAATGGCGATCGGGTGAAAAGGCCTTGGAGGGGGTTCTGCTCCGCTCGGGCCGCCTCCTGACATCTGGTGTGGTCTTGGGCCTCCGGACTCGGGCCAGTCGGGGCTGCTGGGCCAGGTCCAGGAGGGCCTGGGCGACCAGGGGAACAGGGTGCCTTTGTGGAGGCCGGCTGTAGCGGCTGGCGGGCTGTGTTTCTGGGCGTGAGCCGAGTCCTTCTGGGCCTCCGTGTGCCGGCGAGCACACGCGTGTCTTCCCACGACTGTCAGTGCGTCAGGTGGTCTGTGAGCACGCTCACTGTAGAGACTCTGCTGACATGTTCCGTGTTTCAGGCTGTGAGGGCAGTCGCACCGTCCCCGGCCCCTGTAACTGCAGCGAGTCCGTTGGAAACTGCCTGTCAATGTCTCCATTTCTAGAGTCAGCTGAGGAGCCACGAGAGAGAGCGGCACAGCCTCCCAGACTCCGAGTCCGCGGCAGCTTCCCCCGAACCCAGGCTTCCCAGGGACTCAGCTGAGGTGAAGTGCACGCAGGAAGGTATGTGTGAAGACTCCGGGAGCTGTCTGTCACGCGGGTGGTTCTCAGGGCGAAGGCGGTGTCAGTCCTTCTCTGTCTTGTCCTGTGGGTGTGAGTGAGCCTGACCTCTGCCCCCCGGGACGCCCTGAGTGCCGAGGGACGTGCTTGGAGTGAGATGCGGCATTGGCATCTGCGCTGCCCCGGAAGAGCTAAATGCAGGGTACACCCGAGTGGCGTGCCGGCGAGCCGGGGAAGCCGCGGCGTGGAAACAGCGCCCCTCTTCCCCTCCCCTCCCACCCCAGCCGATGACCTGCCAGAGCGGCCCACCCCGCCGCTGGCTCTGGCCCAGATCCCCGCCGGGATCTTCCCCTTAACCGGGTTCAACTGCCAGGTGTCACCCGAGGTACTTAAAAAACAACACTAGAAGATCTTTTCTTGTGCGAGTGAGGTGCGGGTCGGCCAAGTTCCTGCCGAGAGGGATATTAGAATCTAAAGGCTGCATCACAGCTCCGCGAACAGGTGGCGCCTCCGCCCCCGCAGAGCCCTGCTGCCCTGGGTGCCCCGTGCGGCGCTGCCCGGTGCGGTGGGGAACAGCGTGCCGGGCGGCTCTCCTGACGGCTGGGAATTAAAGTCAGAAGCAGCTGCGGAGTTGAGGGTCTCACTGCGGTGTGCAGTATGTGACACCCAGAAGACACACCTGGCCCTAAAATGTTTCTGGAAGAGCTGGTCTGTCATCATGGGGACACCAGACGTTGTCCCCACAGATGTCTCCCGGGCACGGGAGCTCACGGCAGAGCCTCTGCCTGTGCTGGAGGCGGCCTCCTCACAGAGGAGCCTGAGGCCCTCTCCGTGTGACCCTTGTGCCTCCACGTCCCCGGAAAGGTGGCGCCAGAGCCTTTGATGTCCTCAGACTGTGACCCCCCAGTGACAGAAAATGTCAGTCCTGCTCAACGGCGCCACCTGGGCCTGAGGTCTGGGTCACTGGGACCTGCGCCCGGGGCAGGGCTCTCCCTGCCGGCTGCCTCCCGGGCAGCCTCTGGCCCTTGCTGTCGTGGTTGGCGTGTCTTTTCAAGGGCAAGGGGAAGTGCGCTGGGGGCGGCACAGGTGCACACACGTGGTCACACACACTCAACCCACGTCAGCAACACCAGGAAGACCAGCTTTCCTCTGTGTCCTCGTGGTGAACACGGCTGGAACGGGTCTTCTCTGCACTGTCTTCAGACAGCGTCCAAGTGGGCTGTTAACCGTTTTAGTAAGAAGGTTAACGTGAGCTCAGAATTGAAGGAACCAGCTCGTTATCTCATAACCAGTCCCACCGCGTTAGTGTGTCCACCGTGTTCCACTTGGCAGCCTCCTGGGGCTGAGTGTGGCCCCCCAGCCATCCCCTCGCTGCTCCTGCACTGCGGCCGCCTGCGCTCTGGCTCCTGACTGATGCCTCCTTCGTTCAGCATCAGACCTTCAGAACCTGATCGTTGGGCCTGAGAACGTGTGTTTAGCTGACAAAGAAGGGAAAAATTATTCGTGTTTACTAAACTTCTTTTAACCATTTAGTAATTTCACTGAGGAAGAGGAGAGACGTGTGGCCCTGTGGTCCCAGTCTCTGCCCATTACGATGGCACAGGTAGCTCAGGGCATGTTTTCTGCTCCCAGGTGCAGGGCCATGGTACTTGGGCTAGAGTTCTGCCCAAGGCAGGGAGCACCGTCCTGAGCTGGGTCCGGTTCTGGGTGCTGGGGTACAGGGACCACGTCAGTGCTGTTGAGGGGCCCAGCCCAGCGACCAAGTCCACGGGGCCCCACCAGAGCCGTGGGCCCAGCAGTTCCCTGTGTCTCCTTGTGGGATGTGAATAAACCGCTTTATTGTAAACCTGCAGTTGGCCAAGCACTGTAAACACGGGTCCCGGCCCACAAAGAGTCCACAGCTAGTGACACTCCCAGGGACTTCCAGGGAGATCAGGAATCTGCAGAGGTGACGGAGGGAGAACGCAGGCCCCTGGGTGTGCCGACCCGCAGCGGGACACTGGAATTCAGTGTTGTGAGCGAGAAAACCAAGTCCCCGGAGGGGACTTATGTCACCAGGGGCAAGTGGCAGCCAGGAGGAAGCCCAGGGTCTTGAGCTGAAACCCAGTTTCTCCCCCTGAAAAGCTGCCGCCCTGTCCCCACCCCGCAGCTTGGTGCTGCGCACAGTTCCCACCCCGTGACCCGTCCCAGCACTTCCCACCCGGCGTCACGGGCTGGCCTGCCAGTGCTCTTCTCAGGGATTCCTTCTGGAACTGTCCTGGGACAGTGCCACTGACAGTGAAGTCCACGTTTCTAACCTACCAACTGAGAGAGGTACTTAGATCATAATCGTGATTGCTGTGTGTGTTAACGTAACAGATTTATACCAGGAAATTAGGGCGCTTTGTTGGGCTTGGCAAAAGTGGTTTTATTGCAAAAGAGGCTTTTTATTTTAGAGAGCTTAAATGTAAACTGTGGGTTTACTTTGTTAGTTCCTGTGTGGGCTGTCCTTACACCCACATGCCGCCTCCTCCCGCTGTGGCGTGTGTCCCTAAGCTTGCTCCCACTCTGCTCTGTCAGCGTCTGTGCCTGCCCAGTCGGGCTGTGGGCAGCGCGGGCTTGGTGCCCGCAGGCTGAATGGAGGGCTGGGTGTCTCCTGGAGCAGCATCGGTGCTCTCACCACTTGGCCCGCCCTCCCAGGCTTCCCGGGTCCAGGAACCCCAGCCTGTGGCAGATGGACCTGTGGGTTCAGAGAGCTGCACATTCAGGCCAGCTATGACTTTTGTCCTCGGGACTTGTCAGGGTGATGGCTGTCAGTGCACAGCCTTGGTCCTTAGCAGCAGACAGGTGGGCAGGTGACAGTTGACAGCTATCAACAGAGGAAACCTACAAAAACGGCTGTTTGTATTCAGCCCTTTACATGTACTTTGTAGCCATACTTTGTAACATGGGATTCTGATATTAAGTTACAGCTTGTTGGCAGATCCCTTTCCTCGAGACAATGTGTCCATATCCAATATTGATTAGACTAACACCTTTCACATTAACAGTGGTCTCTGGTTCAGCTGCTACCAGTGGGCAGAACAGCCGGCATCACATCCATTGTGTTAGAATTTTGTGCAGGGTCCTGTAGAAGCCAGCCCAGTGTACCTGTGTCTGCAGGCCCAGGGATGTTGAGTTTGTATCTGCTTAGGGTCTGGGTGTAAGAGAGGCTGCGACGCCCTGTGCAGACTTGTTCACTCGATCAAACTGAGAGAGCCTTGACCGAGGCCTTGGCGCTGTGTGGTGTCCACACATGAACGTGGGGTGTGCATGCTTCCATGGGGGTCTAAGGGAAGCGCGTGCTGAAACTCCGAAATGCCTTGTCTAGAGAACAGGCCTGCGGCCTCGAAGCAGTTCCGGTGCGACGTGTGCGACTACACCAGCACGACGCACGTGGGCGTCAGGAACCACAGGCGGACCCACAGCTCCGACAAGCCATACAGGTGGGTGACCCGTCGGGCGGAAGTGCTGGGTGGTGAAGGAAGACTAGAACGTGTTAGAAACGCGTGCCCTCGTTGGAACACAGGTTGAATACTAAGAAACTTTCACACGCTTGTTTCCAGAACACTGTTCAGCGCTGGCCAATGTGGCTCAGTTGGTCAAAGCATCGTCCCGTAGACTGAGATGTCGTGGGTTTGATTTCCGGGCAGAGCATGTACCTGGCTTGCAGGTTCAGTCTCTGGTTGAGGGCACCTGCAAGAATATGAGAAGGCTGCCAGGTGGTGTCTCTGACTCTCTCTCCCCTGTCCCTCCCTCCAGCCCTCTCTAAAAAGCAATGGAAAAACATCCCCGGGTGAGAACTGGGAAAAAAGGAGAGTATTGTGTAGTTTGTTAAAGAATACAAACGTTAAGCGTGAGTCCTGGGTTGGTAGACATGCAGTCGAGGTGACGTAGAGGAGGACGCCCGTACCTGTCAGCTTCCTGCCTTCTCAGTTTCATAGAATTCATGTAGCAATTTCAGCAATTCAGGTGCTGAGTACTCCGTATTCCAGCAAAAGATTCTTCACACTCAAAAGCAATAAAATCCCCATGACAGATTCTGCTTTGGGGAATGGTGGGTGAGGAGGGGATGTTCAGAGCAGGGAATCGTTCATGATGGCGTTTTCACGGTGGGCACATGACGCCATGTGTCTGTCAAGACATGGGGTGGAGAGTAGACAGCGAGCTCTGTGCTGACCGCAGCCGACGCGGGCAGGGCGGGTTTGCCTGCGTGTGTCCTCATGGACATGGCTGGGCACCCACGTCCCTAATGTACCCTCTGCTCTCACGCGAGGGTCAGCCACACAGACTTCTGTCACTAACATACTGATGGTGGCGTGACAGTGTTCCACACAGACGCACGTGTCACCGCAGGGGCTGTGTCACCCAGCGGTGCCCTGAAAGAGCTTGTTGCTTCCGAAGGGCTTCGGCCCAGACCCCCCAGTGCACCCCCCCGGGCAGCTCTTTCTTCAGCAGAAGCTGTTCAGAGGTGGTCGTGACTGTGTTTGCCAGCTGCCCGCGCGGGTGCCTCTCAGGACTTTGCCTTTTCTTTGGATCTGTAAACCAACACGCGCTTCCTGTCCCAAGGTCTTGGATTCTGTTCTGTTTCCTTAGGAAGCAGAGGGATGTAAAGGGTTTTGTGTGTGTGCGTAACTCAGCGTGGATTTAGTGTATTGCCGTACTAGAACTCTTCCAAAACACTACTGCATAAGGCAACGAGATACTTGTCTTGGTTTTTATAAATTCTTCAGAGTATAACACTTTATGTCATTGTTTCTAGGAGACACATTCCGGGACATTTTAACCTCTGAAGCATTGTGTCTCTTAGAGTCAGTGAAGTTCGAGGCCTCAGAGGCTTCAGGAGAAGGGCTGTCCGACAGCAGAGTCACTGTCAGGAGGTGTGACGTGCCCCTGTGACCCTCCCCACTGCAGGTGCTGCCTGTGCGGCTACGTGTGCGGCCACCCCCCGTCGCTGAAGTCCCACATGTGGAAGCACGCGAGCGACCAGAACTACAACTACGAGCAGGTGAACAAGGCCATCAACGATGCCATCTCTCAGAGTGGCAGGTACGGTCCCCCCGCGCCTGCCACCGGGCGGGAGCTCAGGGCCTGCGTTCTGACCGGCTCAAGGTGCGGTGCTTCCGTTTGGTGTTTTAGGGCCCTAGGGAAGCCACCCGGGAAGACTCTCTGGAGCAGCAGGGAAGGAAGAGCTGGCCCCCACCCCGGCAGTCCAGGCAGTGTGTCGCAGGCCTCCGAGCCCCCTCCCCAGGCTCCTGTGGAGAGCGGGGGACAGAGCCCCGCCAGCCCTGCCTCCTGTGGCTCGGAGAAGAGCCCCAGTGCGGTGCCTCCAGGGATGGAGTATTGCGTCTTACTGTTCTGCTGCTGCATCTGCGGGTTCGAGTCCACGAGCAAAGAGAACCTGTTGGAGCACATGAAGGAGCACGAGGGTGAGATCGTGAGCATCATCCTGAACAAGGAGCACGGCTCCGCTCTGCCTGCGAGCTAGACACGCCGGGCCCTTGCCTCCCCGTCCTCCCCTCCCCCCACCCCGCCATGGTGGGGCCCAGGGCCGAGTTTAAGGAAATGACAGGAATTGCAGATGGATAGTTGGTGACCATATTTAAATATTTTGAGGGAAACGGGCTAGAGAGAAAGCAGAGATACAGTCCCGTGTCAGCCCTGTGTTATGTCGTTAGCTTTCATTGTAGTTACTGCTAAAAGCTTGTCACAGTGCAGAAATGCAAGCAAAAAGTGAAGAAAGGGTTTTGCAGGAACTGTTCTGAAACCCGTTGTTGTAAAAATGTCACAATCTTAAGCAGAGCTTGGTTCTCTTCCTCCGCAGTGGGGGGCCCGCTCTGCGCCCGATGCCACGTCCTGAGGGCGGTGGGTGGTGGCTCTTGGCAGGAGGCCGTGCACCCGGTTCCGCCAGGTCAAAAGGAGCCCGTCAGGTGCCCTAGGAGTACCGCGTTGCTCTTCTTTTTTTTTTTAAGGAAAGAAGAAAAAGAGACCTCTACATCCAAAGCTAGGATGTAAGTAGGCGTTTAAGGAATAAATTACTATCTTAAATTCACAGAGAGTTCCTATGGGCACAGGGAGAGGTAGGGGAACCCACCACACTCAGCCAAACCTGCAGCTTCATAACCGTGTGTCCCCGCGCAGGCCGCTCCCTTCCCAGATGTCCTGGTCTGTGTGGGACGGGCCACCACCCTCTAAGCTTTTATCTGACAGTGTCTGTGAAAGCCACAAAGTTGTGCAGGTTTGCACTCGAGCGTCAGACCTCGGAAATAGTTGGATCTCTTAAAATCATTTGGGGGAAGGAGGGCTAGATCCAGAATCCCCTACAGGGGTGTCCAGCCTTCTGGCATCTCTGGGCCACACTGGGAGAAGAGTTGTCTTCAGCCACACGTTAAATACATTGCAACACGTAATCACAAAATAATCTCAAATGTTTCAAGTAAATTTAAATGATTTTGTGTTGGGCCACATTCACAGCTGTGCTGGGCTGCATTCGGCCTGTGGGCTGCGTATTTGGACACCCCGGGGGGGTTGGTTTAAGATTTTCCTTTCCCGGAGCTAATTAATGTTAACAGATGAGGTGTTACCAAATGTGGCCAAAATACACTGAAAATTCTGGTTGTTTTAGAACTTGAATGACAAACGAGCAACACTGGCGAGTCTACAGGGTGTCTCCTCCCTTGGAAATTTCTCCCCCGAGTGTGGAGGACACGTGGGGGACCTGCTGACCTGCTTCGCTTTAAAACACGCGTCCAATAAATGCGACTTCTCTTTATTTACAGTTTGTATGATAGTGCATTTCCAAGACGACAAGGTTTTCTGTTGGGGCTTTTGTAGTCTTGTCCTGCGTTCGTGCCTCGTTTTGTTGAAGTCAGTTGTGCCCACACGTCCGGGCGGCACCTCGCGCAGGCCCGCCTCTCGGTGCTTTTCCTGAGCGGGCTCCGCAGCTGCAGCCACCCCGCTGTGTTGCCGGTGACTCCGGAGCCACGAAGACGGACTCATTGAATGTGATGCTCTGTGGACCCGTGTTGGACGGACACCTCTCCCCAGAGTCCAGGTGTGACTGGGGTTCGCATTTTTAGGATAGCAGTGGGGCCAGGTGTCTGGAAACACTGATTTGTTTTCTTAATTTCATTTTCAGATGATTTTTAAGCAAACAGTGGTAAGTTTGCAGCTCTTTAATTTAGGTAGCTATAAGTTATTTATGAAAGTTAATCTACTTTTGATACATGACTTTTACAGAGAAAGAAGGAATATGTATAGTAAATTATATTCCCCATGTCCACTGCATGTGGATTTATATTCATTTTCTCCTGTTTTCACAAGTAAAACTGTTACATTTCATTTCAGATGCAAATGAAGTATTTTGAATGGCCCCTTATGGCCACTCACACTGTCACCACTCAGCCAACCTGCTGGTGGCTGGGACTCAGGGTTTCTTTACAGAAACCTGTGATTCTGAGAGTTAGCAACCTTAAAAATTTTTGTTTTATAAATTTTCTTGGCTTTAACTTTATGCAATCATTTTGGAAAATACTAATAACCAGGAACATCCCATAATTTTCAACAGGGAATTTTTTAATTACTTTTTTTCATTTTTGTAGACCACTTCTATTGATTGTTACCTAAGTTTCCCATCTGGAATCATGGATTTAAAATTCCCCTGGCTCGAGGGGAAAGAAACTGACAGAAGTTCAAAGTCTTTAAATGCTCATCTGGCCTAGAACATCCTCCAAAGCTTCCCCCTGGCCTGTAGGGGGCCGCATCCCATGGTGTCCGCACCTCCTGGTGCCCGCTTTGTGGCCAGCCTTGGTGCCACTGCCAGGAGCCCCTGAGCCCTCCGCCGTGTGGAAGCAGACAGCACGTGGCGGCATCGCAGCCGGAGCACCCGTCCGAGGGGCGCGTCAGCTGTTGGCAGGGGCCTGCGGCCCTGCAGAGCCTGTGCACTTGTCCACTCTGCACTCTGGTGGTTCGAAGAATTGGTATCGAAAATGGTTTTTCAGAGACACTTAGGGACAAGACAGCGGTGGGGAGGGGACAGTGGTGCCCTGGGACCATCACAAGCCACACTCTCAGGTCACAGTGTCCCCTTCTTTCTCCGGTGTCCTGAGTGTGGACAGTGGTGAGGGCTCCAGAGTGGTGGTGTCCTGCTGTCACTCCAGGTCACCTGGACACTGCACGGGAGTGACCCTGCCACAGCCTCTGTCCGAGGTCTGTCACCCTGGCCAAGGGGCTGTTGTCCCTGTGGGTCTTGTCTCCTGGCACAGCAGGGGTGGGTACCCGCCTCTGCCTGGTGTCCCTGCTGGGGAGGAGCTGCTCTGTGGAGGCTGGGTCCGTCTGCAGTTTTCACAGACACTTATTTAATCTTTTTTACTGTGCAGCAAGGTGCTCTAAGTGATACTCTATAAAGTATATTTAATAGAACTTTGCGTTTGCTATCCATGGACACGAATACATGTATTTTTTTAAGAAATGAGTACTGTGTAACACTATGGCATTGCTTCTATAGCCAAAGTTCGAGACTCTGGAACACTGACCTGTAAAGACGACAGTTCTGCACGGCGTCCTGTTAAAAATAAGGTGACTTGCATTTCGTAAAACCGCCCTGCACAGTGAGCTGCATGCCTTAGCGCCTCCCTCTCTGCGCCGGCGTCCCGGCGGGTGGGGCCGCCTGCCCGGCCGCGCGGCGAGTGCGGCCAGGCCTCAACTACCTTTGGAGAAACTGTACGATGTTAGAGTAATTTATTTTGCTTTATAGGAGTTTGTCATGTATGGACTTTAATATTGTATTTTGGTAATAAACTTTTTGTTAAAAACACTTGCCTCGAAGTTTTACTAGCCAAAGGTTATACACATGCTCATCTTGGAAATGCTGATCTGATCACTTAGAAAGTTGGGTTTAGGTCTTGAATGTCCCAACGAAGGATTGTGATTCCCCCTGGTCACTTGTTAAATTGCTGATGGTGTCAACCTGTGTTCTACAGAGGGACCAGAAAGCGCATTTAGGTCATTATAATCACTGTGAAATTTCAATCTAACTGTGTCACTCTTTCTTGGCTACATGGTTCTTCATTCAATCTTCCAGATCACACCCTTACATGCTTGAAACTCCTGTGTAGTCCGAGTGTGTAAAAGCAGCTCTATCCATGACTCGGTGTTTGCCACTGGAGGTAAAGGTGACACCGGTGCCCACCCCTCGGTCACCTTGTGGTCTGCATCAGTGTCTCCTCACATCACACTTGTGGCGTTGGTCAGTGTATTGAACACCATCTGCTTGGATTGTCGGTCTGGTTGTCCCCTTGCGCCCATGTCTGAGGCCCTGTGTTCCCTCACCACAGCTGTGACCCCTCGTCCTGTCTCCCTACAGGCAACAGTCCCCTCCCCCATCTCCCAAGAACCAAGCTCTAATGCTCTGCTCTAAGCTCCAGATTCCCTCAAGTCCCGGCCTTGAGGGTCCAGACGGTGTGGTTTGGTGGCACCAGCCACACAGGGCTGTGGAGCACGGAGGGATGACGCGTGTGCATGCGTGCACGCAAGTGGTCTCAGAGACTCAGTTCAAAACAGCAGGAGGTGTCTCAGTTGCTTTTTACATTGGTTTCCATGATGAAATGATATTTGGGGTTAAAGTCATTAAAACTCACTTCACCAGTTTGTTTTTTAATGTAGCAACTAGAGAGTTTTACATGTCACACTGCCATTGGACAGTGCTTGGGGGGGGGGTGTTGAACTACAGAAAGCTCCCAGAAAGAAAAGCTTTATAGCGCTGTCTTTGGACTAAATCATATTATTCAGTTCTTTGTAATTGTTATAAAGTGTTCCTGGTATCCCACAGACCCCATCCATAATTCGTGTCATCGTCTTTGCTATTTAAAGCCACACACGATTTGTTTAGAATAATGTACAATTAAGTAATAACTGATGGCTGTAAACAGTACCGTCTTGTTCTCCGCCCATGCCAACTGCCAGTTTCAGTGGCATGGTCTCCACCCCACCGGTTCAGCACTGTGGGCGAAAGTGCAGTGTGGTTACGTACCCACACATCTAACTGGTGCAGGGGACCAGGTGGCCAGTCCACCCCCCTTAGGTGACAAATACAGGATATAAAGCAAAGCATCTCTGATGCACCTTCCATGGTGAATGGCTCCTGTGAGTTGAGCCACGTCCCTGGGTTGGGTGTGGCTGCAGGTGGCTTTGGTGAATGTTGGTGACATGGCAGCATTAGAGAAAGTAATTCTCTTGCAGAGACCTTGTCCCAAGTGCAGCACAGTGTAAAACGGACATTTTTGGCCCCACAAGTTCCTGGAGAAGACTTTTAATTGGTGCTATACAGTTGGCTAAATTAGGTTGCGTCTGGGTTTGTGTCTCAGAATCCAGCTGTCTATGATGCATGCACCATTTCTAGGTTTTGGCATGGGCGACGGGATCCAGTGTGCCTCCTACGCTGCGGGGGTGCAGGCGTCGCTTTTCTGGGGGGCCCATTGGTACATGCCCTGTATCTAGTATTCTCATTCAAACTGCGAAGTATTGGTAAGATTGTGGCATATTTGGGTTTTTAATCTGATCTTTTTCAGTAATGGTAATCATGGTTTAAATTGCCTTAGAAAGATACATTATTCTAGATCTTGCTTTAAATTTAAACACCTCATGTAAACCCTTAGCATTATATGAGGAAATCCCCAAATGTTGGTGTCTTTTTACTCGTAACTTAATGCAGGCGTTAAAGGACTTGGATGGTAACAGTTTGCAAAACTGGATGTAAGAAGGATACTTGGACAGTGATAACGGGGTGTGTGGGGTCTTTGTTTAAAAGGACATTCTAAGGTGGGTTTTATTAACACAAATTAGAGTAATGAGCTCAGATTATTTTATTTTTCTAACTTCTTACCTTTATTAAAAGGAAAAATAAAGCTATGTCATTGCCATTGGCATCAGAATGTTTTTAATTTATAGTAATAAATTATGCCATCTTAAATGTGTTCACAGAGGGGAATTGTGACCTTCAGAGACCCTCCACGAAGTAAAAATTATTCATTTCTCAGGCTTCTGTTGGGACCTAATAGCATCATTAAAGGCTGTTGTCACTACAGTGCGCGTCTGCAGATTCTTGCTTTTCCTACACGTTTCACGCCTGTTCGTATCTCTGTTTTAGAAATAATGAGCTTTCTTGAACTAGGCACATCTGTCACATCTCACGCTTGTGTTTGTATCTGCAGTCCGGTCTAAACCCAGCATTTCCCGCCACAAATGTGTGAGAAACTCCTAGTTCAGGCTGAGAAAATGTGCAGCAGGTCGTGGTTCAGATCTGAAGCTGCATTCGTTTCTTTTTTTGAACTTTTTATTTTTTCCGTTACCATTTAAACCCCTTATACCCTCCTCCTCCCTCGTCCCGCAATCAACCCACATTTGCCCACGTCCGTGAGTCCTTTCTCCTCGATCCCCTCACCCCCGGGCCGCGCCTTCCGCACCCGCCAGCTGGAGGATCGGGACGCGGGCGCCAGGAGAGGTTCCCTGCACTCCTGCCGGAGAGGCGTTCCCTCCGCCGGCAATGGTGACCGGAAGCGCGCTGCTTCTTTTCCGGCCGGTGGATTGCTGGTGGCGGCCGGAAATGCGGCGTTTCCTTCCGGCCTGCAAGCACGGGGCGGGAATAGGACGCCGTGAGGAGCGGGCCGTGTTGACGGACGGCTGCGGAAACCTATGGGCGCGGCCGCAGTGGCCCAGCTTCTCCTCCGCGCCCTCGGCGGGCCGCCGACGTCCGCCGGCCCCATTTCCGGGCGTTGCGCGACGTTCTACGGCCCCGGGTCATCCCCGGCCCTCGCTCTCTGCCCTCGGCGCCCCGCCCACCGGTCCTGCAGCGCCTGGAGCGGCGCGTGGACCGCCGAGCACAGGTCTGTGCTCCGGGGACCCGGCCGTGCTGGTCGGCAGTGATCCGACACCGCTTCGTCCCTTGCTTGCCGCGCGCCGGAACTTCTCCGGAACCGGAGGCCTCTGTCGGCGCGGCTGTCACAGCGGCCCCGCGTGGGGTGTGTGTCCGCTGTTGTGGCGCCCCGAGCGTGGCCGCTGTGGGGCTTCCACAGCCCGTGCGCCTGCTTTGAGGGGACCCACAGCTCCGAACCTGCGCTTCTGAGTTCGTCCCGTGTGCGCGTGGGGTGCGTGGTTTTGTGTGGACGAGGGCGTGAATGAGCGAGTGGACAGAGGAGTGAACGAACCGACAGAGGAATGAATTAATGAGCGAATGGACGAATGAACGAGCGAGTGAATGAATGGCATCACATGGATCGGTTCTTTTCCACGGAGCAAGCTCTTTGCCTTTAGGGAGTCATAACGCGCCCAAAGCCCTACAGCCGGCCCCGCTCTCCACTCGGGCTGTTAGGGAGCACGGGCGATGAAATCCACGCAGGACACAACCCGTGGTTCAGGTTTTCACCACCAGGCCCACGACAAGCTTGTGGGACTCCTCAGTGGCATGCAGCTGTGTGAATAATGTGCAGGACACAGGTGGCACTGCACAGTGGCAGGGGGCTCAGGCAGGGAGGAGGGCCGGGGCTGCTAGCGTCTCCAGGGCATCCCTGCCTCCTGCTCCGGCCAGTGTGCTCACAAACACATCATCCATAGGTTCTTGTGTTGAGTGCAGAGTTGCTGGCTGGTGGAGATGTGAAGGGAAGATGGGAAAGGGGCCAGGAAGGTTGCCTGTGCCCAGGGTGCGCTGGGGCTGAGGCCGTGGCAGGTCCTGGCCCGTGGGTAGCATTTCCTCTGCGCTGCCTGCAGGAGCCGTGGGGAGAACCATGCACCAGAGCCTTTGACACCATGATGTCCATCAGGCAAAGAAAAGGAGCCAAAGCCTCAGAAGTGTCTGAGGGTGGCACAGCCCAGCAGGAGAGTGTGACGTTGGAACGGGAGTTGCCGTCTGGTAGGTGACAAAGTGGCATGTGAGGCTGCTTTCATTTCTGCTTGTGAACTGTCCCTCCCACAGGTAAAAATGCAGTGAGACTTAACCTCGGGGAAACATGGGCTAATGCCCTGATGTTTCCATCTGACGAGTGATCTGCTTGCAGCGCAGTAACAGGGCTCTGCTGTCCTGATGGCAGAAGCCAGGGCACAGCTCCGAGGAGGAGGGCCTGGTGTCTCGCCGTGTTGCTTGGGGCTGGCGACTGTCTGGAGCAATGGTCCCCTTGCCTGGCCTCTGCTGGCCACACTGGCAGCCTGGCCTGAGGGCAGGGGTCTCGTTTCACTAACATTGAAACAGGAATCAGACATATTTTATTCTTTATTTTCAGTCAGATTCCTGAAATTTTCTCCTCTACTCTTTTTGGTTGGACTTAGAGTTACTGGTCAAATGGTGACTGGATCACAAATTGTAGGTGGACTTTACCTCCTCGACATGGAACCCGTTTGTTCCTCTGTCTCACAAACTTAGTAGATACACTGTGGTCACTGAACTGTGCCAAACACAGGCCCTGGGTGTTCAGGTGGGGAAGACAACTCCTCAAGAAGCCCATGTCCCAGTGGGCAGGACGGATGCATGTGGTTAGACACAGCGGGGAAGGCTGCGGTGAGCGGGTGGGCGCTGGCTGGAGGTCACAGGAGGAGCCCTGGCCGTCTGCTGCGGGCGGGCACGGTTCCCCAGTGCTGGGCAGCTGGGACGCAGCAGACGTGGCGGTCTGAGGCAGGACCGTTCAGGTCTTTACTGACTTAGTTGTCTGTCTGGCTTTTCCAGGAGTTTGTACCAGGAGAAGACTCTGGAAGGTCCTGTCACTCATAGCCGGTGGAGCCGTAGCCCTTTGTGCTGGAGTGCTGACCTCTGTTTACCTGGCCACTCTACATGAAAATGACCTGTGGTTTTCGAACATCAAGGTACGGGCTCTCTGCGTGCTGGGCTCCTCCGTGTGCCCTGGGAGGGCCCACGCCATGCGGCTTCCCCCGGAGAAGCTAGTCTCTGAAAGTTTGGCTGTGGAGTAAAAAGGCTTGTTTGTGAGGGTGAAATAAGGTCAGAATGTTCACAGTCGAGTGAGTTTCGTCACTGGTGACGCAGCAGCAGCGCAGAAGCAGTGCCTGTCATCCGGGATTGCGCAACCGGTGCCCTCAGGGCTGGGGGCGAGGCCTCCCCCGTGGGTCTGGTGCTCTTGGGGACAGGCTCTCACTTCTGTGTGTGTGTGTGTGCAGATAGGGTCCCAGGCAGAATTCTTCTCATGGGTACAGTTTAGAAAAACAAAAGGAGAGCGGTTCAGAAGGTGCTGCTCTGAGCTGTGCCTTCCGCGCCAAGGGCCACGGAGCGCCCATGTCTCACTCATCACGCTCCCAGGAGGGCCTGCGATGTTTTAAACACCAGTTGCCTCTTGTCTTTCTTCTCTCTTTTCGAGCATTTCTAGATTTTTTTTCATTAGACATTGTTTTCACAAGTGTATTTGCAAGGAAAGTTACACACTGGCAGTGCCTTTGAACCAAACATCCCTTGATTTGATCCAGAGTGTCGTGATCTTTGACCTTGCTCACTACTGAGGCCTCTGATGCTAGTTGCTTACAAAGATGAAATTCACCTTCTGAAGGCAAAGATTTATGATCTGAGAATAGTCAGAAGAATCAGTGAGGAGTCCGAGGGCAGTGCTCATAGAGAGCTTCCCAGAATACTTGGAGCTTTCGTTGTTGAAATGACAGATTCGATGCGGCTGACTGATTTCCAGCAGCTGACGGTGCAGCCTGTGTGGACACACCTTTATACAAGTGGTTGTGACAGCAGAGAGTCACAGCTCTTATCCCTCGGTGACAATTGCTAGTTTTCCTTAAGGGAAACTACTCACCTTTATCTCTTTAAAATGGAGTGACTATAAAGAGATTCCCTAGATTAAAGCAGGTCAATGCTTACTCATTAACACAAGTGTTTTGAATCCAGGCTCACATACCCCTGTGGGGGGGGTGCACAGCTGAACTCAAGTGCTGGTGACTGTGGGATCGGGAGACGGGCCGCGGAGACCGGGTGACTGAACTGTAAACTGTCTGTTTGGTTCTCTGATCTAAAGCTCAGGCGTGGCCTTGGTAGCAGCCTCAGCCGAGTGCACCCCGTCATCCAGACACCCAGGCACTCTTGATTTTTCTCCTGTTACTTTCATTATACTGCTGCCTGCTCGTTATTGAGCATCTGGTTTGTGGGTAACTTGGATTTAAACACTGGGCCCCTGGAAGGAGTAACAAAGCCTTCGGAATTTGCCAGCAGACTTGAACCTGGTGAGTGTGCGCTCAGCGCCCGCCATGTCCCAGCAGGCACCGTTGTCAGTGGCAGCAGCGCCACCCGGCAGGACAGGCCCCTGTCTTCACGCAGCCGCCCTCGAGTGAGACGCAGGCCAGTGGGCGGCCGCACTCCCATTGTGTTGGCGCTGTGCTCGGCTGACGCTGTGGGGTCAGGTGGGAGGGTTGGGGGCCGGGAGTGTCCTGGCTGACGTGACGTCACTGAGACCTGAGGAGGGGCAGGGGGAGCTGGGCAGGGCGGGGAAAGATGTGTCCCAGGGAAGGGACATGTGCAGGAAGCTCAGGGGGCGCAGCAGCCTCCCTGATCGCTGGCTGCCCCCTCCCTCCTTGTCCGTCAGGGCGGGGTGGAGGGCCGTCTGTCCAACCAGGAGCCTCTTTCCAGACGCTCAGGCCTCTCCTCCCCAGGCCTCCGTTCAGTTGTCCTTCCTCGGCCAGGCCTGCCCTGTGCTCCCTCCCCCCTCTCCCAGTGTCCACTCCACTCGCTGCGTTTTACTTGTTTGCTCCAGACTGTAAACTCCTGGAGCACAGAGGTCTGTGTCTCTGTTCCCTGCCGAACCCCCCGCAGAAGCGTGCTTGTCACTGGCTGCTCAGACTGCGTCTGTGGGACGAGGGGACGAGTCCTCGGAGGACGCAGAGCCCAGCCAGGAGCACGGAGTCCCGTGGGGAGGCCAGTGGGATGGTTCGGGCAGAGTCTGTTCTGTCCGACTGACGCTGCTCTTCCCTTGAGGTTGTCTTCCTTTTTAAAAACGCATCATTCTTTCTCGTTGAAAAATGAACTCGTGGGCTCAAGGACTAAATTCTTACAACATTTTGTTTCCCCAGCAAGTAAGGGTTCAGTGACAAGGAAGGTGATTCTCAATTGGCTAAAAGCACTCGGGTCACCCAGTTTTCTTACGTCTGCTTTTCCTTATTTTAACCTTTTCCACTGTCACTCTGCTATGCACTGGATGTTACAGAAGTTGCACGTCTTCCTGTTGGACGATCTTGCAAAGCAAGGAGCCTTGAGAATGTACAGGGTCTGTCCTCAGGTGGCAGCCACAGCAGGCCTGGGGCTGGTGGCCACCCCGTGGGAGCCCAGGCACATCCGCGGCAGTCCCAGCGCCTCAGAGCTCGGCCACTCTCTCGCTGCGGCTTGTCCCCTCGAGGGCAGGAGTCGTTCATCTAACAGAGGGGTGTGCACTCAACCAGACAGCCCATGCGTATGTGTGTGGCTCTGCGCTGAGGGCCAGGCCTGGGGAGCCGCTGTTTCTGGGAGGTGACCTAATCGGAAACAGGTTGTGTTTACAAGGGCAGTCTTCCCATGGCTCCCCCACTAGCTGCAGCCCCACTAGCTGCAGCCCCACTAGCTGCAGCCCTGCAATTTTAGGGGCAGATTTTATAAACAAAAGTTATGTACATGAGGGTTTAGAAACTAGTGATACGTTTCCTTTGCAAACTTAGCGTCGTTCCTCTGAAAGGGCTTGTCCGCTTTGTGTTGCTGAAGGTGCAGACCATTCACACCAAGCCGCCATTTTTCTTCTTGGTGCTTTTCCCTCCTGGCGCTTTGGTTACGTCCCTTGACACACCGCTGCAGGACAGCGTCAGCTGTGCAGTTCCTGAAGAACGCACTTCCTTTGTCTCCCCACGTCCTCTGGCGTCACCTTTGGGGGAGACTCGAGCGCTTTCTCCCAGCACCGCCCTCCTGTGGAGCCGGCGCAGACACAGTTGGAAGTGCGTGCTCCTTCAGCAGCGTTTGAAGCAGCGCCCGCCGCTGTGCCCAGGCCTTGGCGCAGCCCACCAGGCGAAGTATAAATCGCCGTAAAACTGGGGAAGTGCTTGAATGAGTGAAGCAGATGTTCTCTTAGCAGGAAGCAGATGTAAAACTTGCAGATGTCTGTCTGATAAAGTATAGCATTTGGCTCTGTGCAGCTGGTGCCAAGATCACCGATTCATCATGTGTGGATGCATCTTTGCTAATTACGGCCCTCTGCTCTGTGCACATTCCGGGTGTGTTAAGGGGGGGGTCACCAAGCTCTCTGCTCTCAGTGCTTCGAGTGGTGTTTGCCCCCCACCTTTATGAAGTCAGCTTTTTACTCTCAGACCGAGCTGGGGAAGAAGCTGCGGGTGAGGACCGTGCTGCAGCTGTCCAGTCTGATTGGCGGGTGTAGGTTCGATGTCAGAATGTCCCAGGGAAGACAGCATGCTGCGAACACGTTAGGGCAGCCGGAGAGCCTGGTGTGGCTCAGGTGGTTGGAGCGTCGTCTCACAACTGAAAGGTTGCAGGTTCAATTCCTGGTCAGGGCACATGCCTAAAAGCAGTGGAAAAGTGTCCTTGGGTGAGGCTTAAAATGTTTTTAAGGCAGCTGGAGAGAAGAAGAGGAATGTAATTAAACTTAATGTTTTCTTTTTATTTGCATTGAAGGAAGCCAATGGTGGTTCAGGTAGCATCTAGACGGGAGCGGCAGCAGGCCAGTTCTGTGTTACCAGAGCAACGGCCGGCTTTCTCGGCAGCTGAAATGAAAGTGGATGCAGGGACCAGGCTGCTAAGAAGTGCAGCCTTTGCTGCCATGGAAGGCAACGTCTCAAGTCAGTAGCAAATGTAGCAGCTGAACAAGCCACCCCGTTTCGTGTTGTCCTTTTACAAAGCACCTGTGCTAATGACAGACTCTCAGAACCCGCCCGAGCCTTGTAGTCACCGTCGGTCTTTCCCAGCCACGTTCATTTTCTGTGAAAGGAAGCTCAGCGCATGAGGTTTGCTGCCCTCCCCACGCTCCCGTTTTTTTTCTAGAGTTAACAAAGATAGAATATAACAGTTTGTTTTTCAAGACCAGTGATTGGATTTTTATACTCTTAAATACTTGTGTATTTCTTCAATGCATTATTCATGAACTGATAGCAGAGATATTTAAAGGTGGAAGAAGTAAGTGATTTTCAGGTAAAGGGCACGAGTGGTTCTTTCAGTGAAGTATTTATTACCGCCCGAAACGTGGCTGGCAGCAGGGGAGCTGCCAGGGGCTGGTCCGCGGGGCCAGGCCCCACCTTCCCCAGGAGGCGGGTTTGCGGGGTGGGGTCGGGTTAGGGTCGGCGGGGGCAGGGGGGCAACACGCGGCAGACTCCAGGCCTGGAGGGTGGAACGCAGGTGCGGAGGACGGAGTTGTGACACAGACCGCAGTGCTCTGTTCACTGGTGTCGTGTTTTCACGTATGTGAACATGCATATCTGTATACGTGTAAAATGTAAGACCTGAGAGTATTAACGCGATCATTCCAGAAACTTCTTCAGCCTCACGACCAGTAGCCTGCATATGTTACACGAATGGTTTAAATTTTATGAAAAGCATCTCACAACCCAATTGACTAACAGCTGTGGCTTTACATTTTAGTTCTCCTACAACTGACCCATTACGTAGAAGTGGTTTAAGTTTCTCATATCCATTTTCCTACACAAATGCTTCTCCATTTGTCAGCGGAAAGCCCGCATGGGAAAGGTGTGCCCCGTTCACCGAGGGAGCGCCCCTCTCGTGTGCTGCTGTGAGCAGGTGTCTGATGCAGTTACAGTTCTCCTTTGGTTTTTTTACTCCCACCCGAGGACATGCTTATTGATGATGGAGGGAGGGGGTGGGGGAGAGACCAGAGGGACGTGCAAGGCTCCTTGGGGGACTTTCAATGCTGTTTCTGTTCTGTCTCTCGCCAACGTTCTGTGAGAATGGCGCTGTGTGTTTTCTAAGTTTTAATTTGTGTGAAATACAAGAAAAGCGTTAACTCTGAGACACCAACTGAACAGAACTAGTTGCCTCTGTTTTTTTAAATGCTTTGTTGCGGAAAATCTCAACCATGCACAGCAGCAGAGAGGACAGCACAGTAAACCCCTCCCTGTGACGCACACGCGGCTTCGGCAGCGACCAGCCTTCTGCCGTTCTCATTGGCCAAGATTTCCTGAGGCTGTGTTTTCAGTTTCTTTTCCTTTTAAGCTGTAGCCCTGGGCCCCATTTCCATAGTGACCATAGATGCTAGAGCCCAGGAGGGCTGCAGACGGTGGCCTCCCTTCATTGCAGGAGGTGGAGCGGGAGATCTCCTTCCGGACCGAGTGTGGCCTGTACTACTCCTACTACAAGCAGATGCTGCAGGCGCCCAGCCTCCTGCAAGGTAACTGCGGTGGGCGCCGGGCGTCTTTCCTCGGGAGGCGGCAGTCTGTCCACGGCAGCGTCTGCTCTGGGGAAGCCGTGTGGTCCCTCACGGAGCCCCCCTGTCCTTGCCTCCCGGCTCTGCTCCACCCCAGACTCAGTCTGTTCGCAGTTTCTCGGTGCCGCAGCCGACTCCCCTCAGACCATTTGGGAGGTGTCTCTGCAGGGACGGGAGCAGTGTCTGGGAGGAGCATGTGGGTCACACACGAAAACCCCAGTGGTCCCGGTGCCCTTCCGTCACTGCCTCTCAGCATTTAGAGCCAGAGGGCGCCCGAGGAGCGCCCGCCCTGACGGTGACTCGGGCCCGCAGGTGCGGTGCTGCACTCTCTTCTGGTCATAGTGAGACCCCAGACCCGTCATCTTCCTCTCTGTGCCGTAGGAGCCCGTCAGGCCGTCCCTGGGTAGACGGGCAGTTTTACCCGCGATCGGGTGATCGGCCCCCAGCTCTTTCGGGATCATTGCTCAGACCCAGGATCTCAGCAGGGCCACAGGGGCAGTCTGGTCCCGTCCCTCCTCCTGTGTCTGTCAGCAGGAGCTCTGTGCCGTGGAAAGCCTTTTCCTGCCCCAGGGTCTGGTGGCCTGAGGTGTGGTGGGTCCCAGAGAGGCAGCCGGAGGGGAGCTTCCTGCAGAGTGGGGCCGTGCCTGCTGGCTGGCCAGGAGTCAGCAGTGTGCGTGGAGACGGTCCTCGCACGCCCACTGCCCAGGCTCCCCCCTTCTGGGCTGTGGCCTCCGGTGGGGTGGCCTGGGGCCCGACACCACTCCCACCTCACACGCAGCCTCCACTGCCCCTGCAGAAATAAAAGAAAAGGTGGCATGTTTATCCAGCGGGGTTGTCGGTCAGTGTCCGCGACAGACGCGCCAGGCCCCAGTGCGGAGACGCGGTGGCGCTGGGCTGGGAGGCGAGTGCCTGTCTCCCGTCCGAAGGCCACTGTCAGCTGTGAAGGCCGCTCTTCCGTAAACTTCCACGCGGACGGGAGGTGGAGGCAGCCCTGCCGTGGTGTCGGTGTCTCACCGGGGTTTCCAGATCCGGACACAGGCCACACACCACCGTTGTCGCTCTGTCTCTGTGTCTTTTAGTCTGTAGGTTTCTCTCCATCTATTCTTACCGTTTTTTGTTGAAAACACCAGTTCATCTACTAGTCAGAGTTTCCCACTTCCTGGGTTTTGCCATAGCCCTGGGTGCCCTCTTGTGTGCCGGCTGTCCAGCTGTCCGGCTGTCCGGCTGTCCGGCCGGTGGGGGTGGGCCTGGGGCTGGGGCTCCGGTCCTGGCTGGGGTGTGGAGGCCGCCACTTCAGGGGCCCATTCTGCAGAGCCCACGGACGCTTGTGAATGAAGGAATAAATAACTTTAGTAGCAATTATTTTTCCTAATTTTTCAATGATTAACCTTAGGTTTTCGTGGCTTAATGTATGACAACAAGACTGAATCTATGAGGACAATCAACCTCCTTCAGCGAATGAACATTTACCAGGAGGTTTTCCTCAGTATTCTGTACAGAGCGCTGCCCGTGCAGGTATGTGTGCGACGTCCCCGAGCCAGGAGTGGGGCGGACTGCAGGGTCCGTGACTCTGGTCTCCACCTGCATGGGCTTGGTGCGAAGCCGCCACATCTGAATCATCTTCACACATGCTGCGAACTTGGCTTTTTATTTGTGTTTTGTAAGATATTTTGTGCGGGTGGACGCTCCCTGACATATATATATATATATATATATATATGCAGGCAGGCTCGAAGTAATAAGTATTTTTGTGTACAAACATGTGAGCTCTCCTGACTTACCTTTGGAATAAAAACATTGGAAGGTTAGCAAGTCACAGCGACCACTCTCGAGTGAAACTGGGCACAGTTGGCTGTACCCAAGGAGCGAAGCCAGGTTCCCGGGACCGCTCCCCCTTCCCGCGTGTGCAGCACCATGGGCTGGGCGCTGGGAGTCAGCTTCCGGGACGGCAAGGGGAGGACTGGGGCTCCCCTAATGGGTCTCGTTACTGTTCCCTTCCACAGAAATATCTAGAGCCAGTTTACTTTTATATTTACACCTTATTTGGACTCCAAGCGATCTACGTTGCAGCCCTTTACGTGACCAGCTGGCTCCTCAGTGGCACGTGGCTGGCAGGACTGCTGGCCGCCTCCTGGTACGTCACCAACAGGTGAGCTGGAACCGGCGCGCCTCTCCCTGTAAACGTGCGCAAACGTGACGTTTCTTCGTTTCCAGTTCAAAGAAAGTTGTTCTGTCATGTCAGTCAATGTGGGCGTCTCTGCCCAGTGGCGTCTTCCCACCCTGGTCAGTGAGGCGGGACGTCCTCCATGCGTGTGCTCCTGCCCTCCATGCGTGCGCTCCCGGCCGAGCAGCAGAATGCTGGACTGCGAGTCAGAGAGGCGTGCGAGACGCCCCTCTGCCACCTTCCCTCTCGGCCCGCAGAGGGCTGCGTGCCACTCGCGGTGAGCGAGGCCTAAAGCGCCGCACAGATGCGAGAGACTGGTCTCCTCTGTGATCACCTGCCTCCACGCACCGCGGCACAGACGTGCGGCGCACGCTGAAGACGGCCCGGCCGACAGCAGCACCAGCGCCGATAGGAGACTTAGCGGCTCAAACCCAAGTCCTGACGTTTATTTTATAACCCTAAACAAACTACTTTTTATTTAACTTTACTCAGTAATTACTCTGTGCCCAGCTCTCAGCAACATGCTTTGTGTGTGCGTTGTTGTTCATGAGTGTGAACACACGTGAGAGCGCACGTAGAGGTCAAGGCATCTGTGCTCACAGCAGCACACACACAGCGAAGTGGCCCCAGGCGCCCCCTGCGCTGCGCTGCCCCTGCATTTGGGCTTCGCGCACCGCGCCTGCGAGAGCAGGTGGGAGTCAGACTTACTGTTCGCACGAAGAGTAAATACAAGGCATTCACTGAGTGCCTGCTGTGTGCTGGGTGGTCCATCTGACCTGCACCTGCCCTCGAGGGGGTGCACGAGGGGGCGGGGAGCCTGCACCCCGGTCTGCGAGGGCCGGGCAGGACCCGGTGTGACGCAGAGGAGGGCACGGGTGCCCGTGGTGGGAGCTGTGGCAGGCAGTCGGCGTGGGCACGCATGTTCGCCACCCCAGCCCACCGCCTGAACACGTGTGTGCAGATGGGTGACCTGGATCTCAGTGCCGATCATAGTGATCGAGACCCAACAAGCAGAATCTAAGTGTCCTCAGTGCAGCATAGCTGCCACTGCAGGACACCCGGGCGTGGTCCCCGCGAGGGCAGTGGTGGTCACCGAGTCTCTTCTGCGCAGGGTCGACACGACCCGGGTGGAGTTCACCGTCCCGCTGCGGGAGAACTGGGCGCTGCCCTTCTTCGCCGTTCAGGTGGCGGCCGTCACGTACTTCCTGAGGCCAGACCTGCGGCCTCTGTCTGAGGTATGTTGTTACGAAACATCCTGCGTTTTTTCTTTTACTTTTTAAAATTTATTTCCAGAGAGAGGGAGAGAAAGATCAGTGTGTGGTGGCCTCTCACCCACCCGCTAGTAGGGAGCTGGCTCACTTCCCAGGCCTGTGCCCTGACTGGGAACCGAACTCATGTCCCTTTGGTTCGCAGGCCAGCACTCAGTCCCTGAGCCTCACCAGCCAGGAAAAACGTTCTGCGTTTTTAATGTCTAGTTGCACTGAGAAGTGGTGACCTGCACCCCGTCCCAAGTTCTGCGTGTGGAAGGGCCTCAGTCCGTGCCCAGTGTCTTAAGTTAAACGGAGTGGTCTTCTGAGTGTTGTCCTCCTTTGCAGAGAAAGTGGTTTCTTTTTCGTTGTTTAAATACACAGTCTGCCCTTGTGGCTGCAGCACACCCACAGTTGCTACGAAACTGTCGGAATTCTGAAGCCGTGTCTCTCGGGACGCGACGTGACGTGTCGTCGCCTCCGTGCTGGCACGGGGCTCATGCTGCACATGGGTGTGTTTACATGCTGCGTGTCACTCGGGGCGTTTAGAGCTTGAACGACAGAGGCAGCAGCGGGCGAGGAGGTGTGACCGCCCTCGGAGGCTCGTGTGCGAGGCTCTTCCTCACCAGCGACACGCGAGTCACACGGGCCCTCTCTTTCCAGAGGCTGGCCCTTGTCACCATTTTCGTGTCCACCTTCGTCTTCAGCCTGACGTGGCAGTTCAATCAGTTCACGATGCTGCTGCAGGCGCTGGGACTCTTCGCCCTGGACTCCCTGGACATGCTGCCGGCCCTGAAGGTGAGCTCCACCAGCCGCTGGGCACCGCTGCCACGGGAGGAGCGTGACACGTGGGTGTCACCGCTGAGGCGGGGCTGCTCGTAGCTCACGGGAGTGTGGTGTTTGGAGGGGGCGATTCACGCAGCCTCATGGGACCATCTTAACTTGTATTCTGCATATTGCATGTTAAATGGAATGAGGGGAGATCCGAGAGAGAAGCTGGAATTATCTTCTGGGGGGGGGCGGGCCCCCGTAGTCCAGGCTTCCCCGACTAGGCGAGTGTTCTAGGAACCTACCTGTGTCATTGACCAGCTGGCGTTGTTGCGAGAGGCTGCGCTGGGCCTCAGTAGAATTTTTGGAGACTCAACACTCTGCCCATTTTGTGACGGGTGACTGACGAGTGCACCTGCCCACACCAGGCTGAGTGGTCAGCAGTTTTTGACCAAAAACAGCATGACCCCCACCCCTCTCCACTGCCCTCCCCCACCCCAAGCCGTACCCCACCCTCCCTCACCCCCAGCAACTTCGTTTTGTTTCCCTGGGTGAAAAAAGCCCTCAGAGGGAAACAAAAAACTGCAGAAGCTTTTTTTTTTGCTAAAGAGTATCAGATGGGGAGGACTGAAGGTGACTGAAGCTTCAACGTGAGAATAAACACAGTATTTTTTATGAGTAAGGTCTGGAGTTTTGGGGCCCCCCTCTGCTACATTTATTTGGAGCAGGAGTATGCAGACTGCCTGCCCTTTTGAAAGGTGACTCCAGTTTTAATGTACGTGACAGCCCCGTTGACGTGTGTGGCTGTGTGCTGACCTTCCCAGCAAGTCCGTGGGGTGTGGCAGCCCCTTGGCAGCCTTGTCCACACTCCACAGTGACCTCTGACCAGCTGCCACGTGCGTCTCTGTCACCCTGCCACAGGATCTTGCCCGTGGCACACGGAACTGCGACCCTTCTTTGTGCCCCCGTGTGCGTGAGAGGCCTGATGCTTGAGTGCTTGAGGCAGGTCTGTGTCCTGCAGGGTCAGGAAACAGAGCGAGGGGGAAACCCCGTTCGTTGCTGAATACAGTGAAATTTTCATAAGCCACTATGAATAGGAAGTGGCCTAATTGCAAAGAGAAGACAGAGGTACCAGCTCTTCATTCTTTCCTTTGTGTGTGAGGCATTTTCTTACGTCCAGGTGGGCGGAGCTGGCTTCTGTCAGTCTTCACTCCACCCAGAGGGGGGCGCTCTCCTGGCATCTCCGTACCTACCCTGGTGGTCCTCCTGCTGCTCCCCACGGCGCCTGCACTGAGGCAGGTGTGAATGGCCCTGACTTCCCTGCGGGCCAGTCCCCACAGCTGGTTTCTGCCAGGATCAGCATGTCCTCGGTGCCGCACTGTGCTTGCTCCCACTCCCACGAGGTGTTCAGTCCCTGGGGGAAGAACCACACACACAGATACAGTGAAACGGTGTTTGCTGTGGTTCTGCACCGGGGAAACAGGAAGTGATGGAATACGTTAAGATCCTGATGGTGGGCTGTCAGCCGTAACTGTGAAAGAATTTAGACGAGAACGAGGGAGCGTGCAAACTGCCTTGCTTGTCTCTGGAATGTGTCTGCGGCATCGTTTGCCGCCTCCGCTCCACAGCGTCCAGTTTGTTTCCTCTCCAGTTAAGGTTACAAAATGTCAAGTGTTGTTAAAATTAAGTAAACAGAAGTCTGTGGTTTAGTTTCCTGTTTGGCTTGTGTTACTGGTGTGGGTGTGTTTTCTGTGCATCTGGGTCTCGGGGTGGACGGCCTCACCCACGGACTCTCTGGCTGTTGCAGGCGACGTGGCTCTACGTGATTCAGGTCGCAGCTCTGCTCCTGGTCTGCGCACTTCAGTTTTTCAATTCCATGATTCTTGGATCGCTGCTTATCAGTTTTAACCTTTCAGTGTTAATTGTAAGAAGACTTCAGGTAGGACTTTTCTTGTCAGTAAGTGTTTTTATATAAATAGTGTGGTTTGTGGGACCTCATTTTTATGCAACATTCAGAGGGACACGCGTGAGCAAGTCCCCACTAAAAGGCAGGAAGGCAGTACTGGTATTTCCTTTCGGGAAGTTCCTGGTTAGCATTCCCGTTTTTATTATTTCTCTGAGAATTGGAGTCATCATGCAATTTAGGGATTAACCAAAGACGCCTGCCTGAGTGCCGTGGGTTCGAAGTTGGGGTAACAGAAAGCTTTTGCACCCCTGCCTGTGCTGGGCTGCAGAGCAGGTGCTACCGGAGCAGGGACACGCACAGGCCAGCTGGCGGGGCGGACCCCGCGCCCCGGCCCCTGCCCCTGGTTGCCGACACCTCAGAGAGAACACGAGCTCTCGGAAATCCAGGTAGATGCCTTTGGAAATAAGGGGGCATTTCCTAACGTATCATGTTTCAACACATTGACCCCCATCTTTTGATTTTGGTGCCTGATTAGAGTTTTCAGAATCGGTGGTTTTCCCTTCACAACAGCACCGAGCCTGCGGCCTCTGCCCCAAGCACAGGAGGGACTTGGGAGCCTTCGCTCTCCAGGAGGCGTTTTGTTCTCTGCTTTCGGGGGAGCAGACCCTTTTCCTCACTAGCGTCTGTCAGCTGCTACCGACCAGCTCACAGAGTCTCTCAGGAACAGGCTTTTAGTTGATGGTCAAAATATTAGCATCCGTCATCCTCTCCACCCTCGTTATCAGTAAGCGTCACTGTGTGTGAACTGGCTAGATACTGTCATGCGTGAACACTCGTGAAGTTTTCCGAGGCTGGAAGAAAGCTAGGGGACATCGGCGTGCACGGCTGGCCCGCCGTTGGCCGACTCCGCTGCTTTGTGCTCGCTGCGGCCGCCCCGCCCGTGGTGCGTGGCAGTGGGCCGAGGGGGGGAGGGCTGGTTCTGTCCGTGCCCCTGAGCACCGTGGAAGTGGCAGGCCCCGTGCTCTGGTTGCAAAGGGCACGTTTTCCCATTTTATGCTTATGAATGGATTCGTGTAGTTTTAGCAAATTGCAAATATTAAAATACTGTAAGCACATGGAAATTGGTAGGTTGTATTTTCCACATATTTTCCCTTATATGTTGCATGATCCATTGCTTTAAATCCTTAAGTAATCCTAAGTGTTCACGAAGCTATATTAAAATTTAAGAATTACAACTCAACTCTTTTAATTTCTAGAAAGATCTGAAAACTGGAAACCTCCTTAGGAGGCTTGGGAAACTGTCGTTACATTTGCTCGTGGTCTTGTGTTTGACGTTGTTCCTCAACAACCTCACTAAGGTAGGTCCTGACAGTTCCCTAGGGTGAGGAGTTACCAGTCTACTTCAGGCTCGGTTTTCATTGTTTCAGTATCAAGGTTGTTTTCTTGACTTTGGCCCCTGCTTTTTTTCTGTTCACTCTTCAACATGTTCTACCTTAAACTCCCCTTTTGAGTTATTAGACTTTTGGAAGCTCAACTTTAAAAGCTGTAAACAAGTATCTCCAGAGATCATTTTCTGCACTGCGGAGCTAAGAAAGCAATAAGGCCTGATTTTTACTGGGTCAACTTACTCAGTAAACTGGCTTTCCTCTCAGAACCGAGTGCCTTACGGAGGGGATCCTGCGCCCTGGGAGGCCGGTCTCAGGACAGGCCACGTGTGCGGGACGTGCCGCACTCTGACCACTGACCACCGAGGGAGACCCGGCCTCTCCGGGCCCTCGTCACCACGCCCTTCACCCGCACACGCTCAGTGTGCGTCCAGGCCTTCTCTGAGCGGAGCGTCTGCGTTTCTGAGAACCCGGGGAAGCTGCGGGTTCTCCCCGACGCTCCGGGACCCACCCTGGCGGGCCGTCACTTCCGCTCCCCAAGGAGCCACGTCTGCTCCGTCCCCCTCGACATTTTGCCTGTGACTTACCGTGACAATGACAGTGTTTAGGGGAACAAAACAGAACATCGGTGAACTTGCCATCTCTCCCGTGCCTGTGGGAGTGTGCGGGCCAGGGTTTGTGGGCAGCAGGGCCGTCTCAGGGGAGCCAGTGGGGGGTCTCTCGGAAGCGTTTTCTGCACCAGCCTCACTCTGGACTTGGCCTTCATTTTCCTTCTGGTACGATTTCTTCCCTGTGTGTGTTGTGGGGGTTTGGCAAGCCGTAAATCAAAAGTAAAACTGTGACTTAAAATCACAGTCGCCAGTGGTGAACACAGGCGTGTGTGCGCCCCCTGGAGGGCTGCTGTCGAGGGGCCCACAACCCCGAGCCCCATGGCACACGGGCCTTGTGGGCTGCGCACACGCCTGAGGCCGCAGAGGACTGAGCCACCGGTCTTCTGGTCCGAAGACCTGTGCCCAGCGGGCTCCAGCTGCCTCCCTCTGTTGAGACCACAGAAGGCCGCCTGGGACCTGCTTTACCCGCTGGGGTTCCACGGACAGATGAGTCTGTTGGGGAAAGAGGCGGGCAGCTGCAGAGGCCCCCGCTCGGCGTCTCTGGCCCGCAGGCCTCTGTGCACGTTGGTTGCGCTTGCCGCTGGCCGGGCTCGGGGCCTGCGTGCCGTGGAGACTCCAGGCCACTGTGTGAGGCACTAACAGCAGCTTTTGCTTGTCCCCCTCCAACAGAAAGCCCTCAACCTGAAGTCAGACGAACACGTATTTAAATTTCTGAAGGCAAAATTTGGTTTCGGAGCGACAAGGTATGACTATATTTAAAATCGATTTTTCTCTTCAACAAATAAAATCTAGGTTTACTTTTTCTATTAAGTCAGCAAAGACTTTAAAACTTAAGTTATCGTTGTGCCTTCAGCTGTTAATTTCAGGCTCATTTTAAGGAAAAGGTTGTGGTTTGCTGACACTGAACTTAACCCTCACTTCCCGTTTGCCCCCAGAGACTTCGATGCGAACCTGTACCTCTGTGAAGAGGCCTTTGGCCTCCTGCCCTTGAACACGTTCGGGAGGCTCTCGGACACCCTGCTTTTTCACGCCCACGTGTTTGTCCTGTGCGTCACGGCGGCGGCAGCACTGGCCGTCGCCTTCCGTAACCTCAGGTGCGGCGGACGTCAGAGACCAGGGCTGCGCCTCCGCCAGCTGGCCCGTGTTGCGGGGAAGCTGCGGAGCTGAGAACACGGGGGGTCGGTCAGCTTACGGGGGGGGGGGGCGCGTCTGTCGGGGGCTCTGCCGATGATGCGTGGGCCCAGGTCCAGGGAGCTGTAGCCGACGTTTCAGGACAGAGTCATACCAGTGGCGTGGGGGACCTTAGCGCGTCACTGTGACTTTCCAGTGGATCCAGGGGGGACAAGGCCTCCAGACGCCCAGACATCTCTGGCCCCAGTGGCATTGATACACAAGGGACCCTGATAAAGTGTCACGTGGTCTTCAAGGGGGGGCCTTTGCTGTTGCTTCCCTCTCCCCACGGCTGTGCGGCGTCCACCCCCACTCACCACCAACACCTCTAAGAGGGGACACGGACACACGTGTTTCTCAGTGGGGTGCGGCACGCAGCAAGCGACGAGGCGTTCCTGCCAGAAGGGGCCCTGGATCCGCTCACACTTGCGCAGAAATGGAGAAGTGCATCAGCCTCCCTGTCAAACGCAGAGGGTGCGGATGGTTACCGGGCAGGTGATGCACTGTCTTCCCCCAGTGAGCAGCCTTGCGGGGACTGGGGGGGGGGCACTGTTATTGACTGAAAGGTAATTTGGAGACGGTGGTGAATGCAGCATGCAAGATGGGGGTCCTGATCCAAGGAGACCATCTGAAGAAGCAGCCGCAGCAAACAGAGAGCGAGGTGTGAACAGGGGTCAGGTGGTGTTTCGGAGTCGCTGTCAGTCCACGGGTGTAATTGCTCCGACAAGTGTGTTGGACAAGTCATCTGTTAGAGACACCTGCGGGGTGTCGGCAGGTTGAAACATGATCGTTCCTGAAGAAACTGAATTCCAAGTTTATGGATACATCTTTACTTTTTCTTATTTGTAAAAACTTGAGCCCTGGGTGATGTGCCTCAGTGTATTAAGCACCAGCCTGCAGACCAAAGGGTCCCCAGTTCGATTCCCAGTCAGGGTACGTGCCTGGGTTGCCGGCCAGGTCCCCAGTAGGGGGCGTGTGAGAGGCCACCACACACTGACTTTTCTATCCCTGTCCTTCTCCCTCCCCTTCCCTCTGTGTTTTAAAATTTTTTCTTCAAAAGGAAACCTTAAAAAGCACTGGTAACTTATAAAATATCTTTCAAGATCTTAGTTTCAGTGATTTCAAAAGGATTTTTTTTTTACTATTCCCTTATCATTTAAAGGATTGAAGCACTTCAAATTTTTACTTTAAGTTAAAATGAAATTTGTTAAATTGTTGTCCTACTTACAGATGCACTTACATTACACTGTTAGCCTCATAAATTAGAATGGTCAGTAATGTGTTCTATCTTGGAGAAATAATACATTTCTAGGTGTATGAAAGTGTAAGTTTCTTGTATCCTCTTTAAAACGACTTGACGCAGTGAGAGTTCTGCACGTGCTCTAACCTGTGTGTGTGCTGCTTCCCGCAGCGGCCGGTCGCCCCCGGGGGTGGAAGCGTGCACCGTCGGCCTGCGGCCAGAAACCGCCTACAACTTGATACACACCGTTCTGTTTGGATTCTTGGCCCTGAGTACGATGAGGTAATTTTAATTTTGGCTCATCTGTCTGATTTGTTCATTCATTCAGCCGTTCTTTACCTGGCGTCATGTAGAAATGAAATTGGAACTGACGTCATCCTCATTCATGACCAAGGCTCCTTTGATCACGGGTGGCAAACGCAGGGCCCACAGGCCAAACCCGGCCCTCCACCTGGTTTTATCCGGCTTGGCACCTCGTTTCTGCCCGGCGCCAGTGCCCACCAGCTCCTTGCCCCTAGTTAAGGAGCAGTTGCATGTACACAGTCCTAAAATGACATTTGGTCCTCTGAAGGCCACCACGAGGCTGATGGGGCCCCCGGTGACAATGAGCGTGACACCCCGCCCTAGAATGTCTCTTGCCTGCTGTTTCTGTCAGAGCCAAGTCTCACCGGTAACCGGTTTCCCCGGATTAGCAGCCCTCCCCCGACTCTCCGGGGCACTTCTCAGGGGGCAGCGAGGCCGGCCGCTCTGCTTCGGCAGATGCACCTCGAGGTTTCGGGAAGATTTGACGAGCGAGGCTGTCCTCCCCGCAGGATGAAGTACCTGTGGACGCCGCACCTGTGTGTGTTCGCAGCCTCCGGCCTGTGCAGCCCGGAAGTGTGGGGGCTGCTTCTGAGGGTCGCCCGCCTGTACACCCCAGCGAGGGTCAGTGCTGCCCCTGCGGCTTGTTTTCCCCGCTTGTTCCGCTTCACCGAGCAGGTTCCCGTCCGTCATGAGCAAACGGGTACCGACATTGAAGCTAAAAATAGATGGTTGATACGTTATGACTTTACAAGGATTTTTTAAATTTTTAGTCATTTTTCCCCAGACCATAAGTTGGATGTGCTCATTATGTGCAATTTGGAAGTACTGAAAAGCACAAAAGGAAAATTTACAAATCACCAGCGACCCCACTGCCCAGAGTTACCACGCGTACCTGTGATGTAACTGTGATCACCTAAAACCGGTGATCGGAGGGCACAGGGTCTGTGTGGCCCTGCCCGCTGCGGCCACGGGTGGGGGGGGGGTAGCGGGGCCCCGCCCTCCCCGGCTTGTGGCTTTGCGTGTCGGGGGACGCCAGTAGATGCCCCTCAATGTGAATTTCTGTTGTTTAAAAAAAATCATATGTTTGCCGAGCAAAACTGTTGAAAACACTTAAAATCTACATGTTGTCTTTCTTACGTAGATGTGCGTATTGCGGTACTCAGTCCCGATGTTAATACTGCTCTCTCTGTGCTACAAGGTAAGACTGATTTTCTCACTCTTGGAGTTTGCCTACGTGGCAAGTGCTGCTGCGACCCAGTGACCTTGTGCATGGCGGGCGGACAGAGTGCGCCGTGGGGGGCGCAGAACCTGCCTGCGCTCAGGGCGGTCGGCCTGATAGGAAGACGGGCCGTTTCCCAGATAGTACTTAGGAAGTGAAAGCAAAAATGGCCACAGTTTAATCTTTCTGGGTAATTTTGGTTCTGACTCACTCTTCAGCCGATGTAGGTTCTGAGAATAAAGATGTTTTCAGACCTATTTTGAGGTGAAAAAGTAGGAATGTTATTTTCCCCATGACCTGCCTTCCGAGGAGCGACATGGCCGTGCCCTGCACGCGGCCCGTGGGGAGGGCGGCCCCAGCGGCAGGGGCAGCGCAGGCCGGGCCGCTCCGTCACCTGGGCTTGGAGGAAGCGCGGCCCCTCGTGCTCTCGGGCGCCTGGCTCCTGGAATGGCGCCGACTGTGCTTCGGGCCTGGCCGTCAGCCGGGTGGGCGACTCTGGGACACCGCCGCATCTTTGATGTTCACAGGCTCGGATCGTCACCCGGGCAGGTGGCCCGGGGTCTCCATGTGAGCTCTCAGCCCATCTTTAAAAAAATACTACATGGGTTTTCTTTTAAGTTTAGATGGTTTTCTCCAAATTTTGTTCTAATTAGAACAATGGACTTCCAACCCCCTGTGTAGGGCGCCCGGTCTGAGAGGCGACCTGTGGGGAGGGGACTCCCCGGAGCCAGCTGCGGGGCTCACTCGCTATGTTTTCAAGTAAGCCAAGGGTTTAGGCTAAAAAAGAGTTAGCTAATCACTGTGTTGGATGATCCCATTGTAAATATTTCAGAAAGCTGTGTTTGGTCATGTTCCTGTCCATCAAGCTATTTGTTGTCCCGGGCAGAGCCCTGGGCCCACCCCCGGACACTGGGGCCCGCGGCACCAGGTGGTTGCCCCCCCGCCCCTGGGGCTGCAGTTGCCCCAGTGTGGATAAACGAGGCGTCTCGCAGACACCTGAGGAGCTGCAGCAGGGGTCAGGCAGACGCCGGGTGAACAGTGGGCCCCCGCACAGGAAGGTCACACTCACGCTGCTCTCGCCTCCCCACTGACCCCATCTGCCCACAGTTTCTAGGCGGTTCAGCTACTTTCTTCAAGTTTTACTGATTTTTTTTAAAGCCGTTCGAGGACTTAATCCCCTCTTGTTGATAGGAGGGTGGGGGAAGGGCCGAGCAGAGGGGAGAAGTCGTGCCCCGGAGCTGTGGGTCTCAGCCTGCTGAGTCAGAGGCTCTGGGAGCCCTGCAGCTGGGGTTGCTGCCCCTGAGGCCGGACGCTGCGTGGCTGGTTGGTGAGAGCCCTCGGGCACCCGGCGTCCTGGGCCCGGCTGCCCCTCCGCCTGGACTCAGCAGAGGCCGGTAGCACTCCCTCTGCTCGGTATGACCAGAAACGTGGGCGACACTGCAGAACGTCCAGGGACCAGGGCAGACCTCTCCCCGCAGAACCACAGGGCCTTTGTGCTGCTGGCTCCGAGGGAGAGCCCAGAGCCCTGGCCGGGCTTGGCCCCCGGTGAGGGGGTGCGGCCACGGGAGGCAGGGCAGGCAGTCCCACTTCTCCGAGCTCGCGTGGTGGGGAAGCACCGAGGTGGGGAAGCACCGAGGTGGGGGGGCTGGCGCGCGCGCTCGGCCCCGGAGCCGCCTCCTCGCAGCCGTGGAGCAGGCTGGTCTGTGGGCGATTCGAACTCGGTCCCGAAGCCCAGCTCGAGCTTCCCGTGCGGTGGTGGCGATTTCGGGACGTCTTGTTCGTAATGCCGATCTTGCGCACGTCTCTTCAGGATGGTCCTGTTTAAAAGGGAAAAGCTCCATTCTAAAGTCAAGACTTTAACAGTATTCTTACTGCCATGTTGATAACTTATTTGGGTTGTTAAAGTTTTATATAAACTATCGCTGATCATTTAGAAGCAACATTTAGTTGCTTCTAAGTTTTCATATTATGTTTGTAGATTGTAACATTTTCAGAATTAATAACAGCAACTTTCAAACTAGAAAAATATGGAATGTCCGTTGAATTCACTTATTCAAAAATGTTTTCCAGCAAAAGCATTAGAACACACCATAGACAAGTTGATGTCCATTTTATCGAAGTTGCGGGGGTGACGGTAGCTGGACCCGATGCTGGCACCAGCTGAACCTGGAGCTCCAGGTGCCGACCCCGCTGGTCCACCCTCACCCCGGAGAGAGACCTGAACGAGCCATAGAACGGCCAAGGATGAGACCAGCAGAGGGAGTGGGGCAGCCGGTCCACGCAGCGTCCGCACCCTCCCCCCTTCCCCGCTAGGGTGCGTGGACGCGTCCCATGTAGGAAGCGAGTCCCGGTGTCCACTCAGGCGGGAGCAGGTGCTGAGGTCTCTCTAACCGTCACGTGATGACACCACCAGTGTCTCATCCATCATTGCGTTAGCCAGACGTGTTCTGTGAGCACAGCCTCCGAGGGGGACTCGGCCTGGTCTGCTCGACCGCCAGTGTCAGCACCACGATCCTCGGGGGCGCCCGCGTGGGGAGCCCTGTTTCGGGGCTCATCTCTGCCACTGCACCCGTGGTGATGATGGTAAACGTCATCACCGGACTTGTAGGACTTGTAGGACAAAAACTGTAATCACATTATTCCACCCCACGTAGCAAAAGGGGGCTGGGTTTGCAGTCAGGTTTTGGGGCGCTGCTCCGCCCCTTGGTGGCCTGGCCAGCCCAGGGCCTTCCTGCCTGCACCTGGAGAGGACGGCACGTGGCGTGGCGGGCCTTCTGCAGCACCCGTCGCCCCCGCGATGGTGAGGCCCCTGTGCGGCTTGCGCAGCACCCCTCGAGCACCCCCACGCTGCTGTCTTCCACCGGAGCACCCCGAACGGAGGGCGGGCGCAGGACCGTGGTCACCGCTTCCAGATTAGCTGTGAACTTTGTCACAGTAGCCACTTCTCACTCCCAGTTAACGTTCCACTGGGTTCTAAGGACGGCATTTTTATTGAGTAAAACAAGCTCATTTAAAAAAGTCGGCAGCACCTCTAGTCAGAATCAGCTCTGACTCTGGTTGGTTCTGGAAAGCTCTCGGGGGTCGGCTGTCTCACAGCAGAGGGGCAGGCCATGGGGGCAGAGTCCGGGCCCCACTGCCTGGAGCCAGCTCACACGCCCAGCAGCCTCCACTCTGCCCTTCCACCTTAGTGACCGCCGTGGGCGTGGGTGGATTTTGTTTTTGTTTTGTTTTGTTTTTGATTTCAGTTCTGGCCAGGAATGCTGGATGAGCTGTCGGAGTTGAGGGAGTTCTATGACCCAGATACAGTGGAGCTGATGGACTGGATTAAGTAAGAGGATTTTCTTACCCTTTCCCCTTTGGGGGCCTTTCGGGTCTCTGCAGACCGGCGGTCTGTGCTGCGGCGCTCACCGAGTCTCACTGTGGAGGTGTGCGTGTTCCCGAGTTTGTCTGTCCAGCTCTGTATTTGGAAATAACGTTCCTTATCCAAGAACTTGCCACCGCAGCCCAAAGAGGGGACCCCACGAGGGGGGGGCGTGGGGGGCACTGCCAGGCCCTGAGCGAGGCGGGGCCCCCACTCGTTCCAGCACCTTTGGCCCGTGTGGGGCCCACCTGGAAGGGGTCCTGGCTGAGCATCCATGCAGCTCATCGGTCCACAAGCTGTCGCCACACCTTGTACAGCGCCCAGGCCTGGAGCTCGTGGGGCACAGGGGCCTCTGGGCGGGGGAGGGCTCGTTGTGCTCGCACCTGGCGCATTGGCACCATCAACCAAGAGTCCTTCGGGACTGAATTTCTCAGTCACGTGTGGGGACATTTGTGACAGCGGCCCCCAGGAGTCTTCCCTGGGGCGTGGGGGGTATCGCCCACACAGGCTGCCCAGTGTCCCTGCAGTGTGTCCCCAGCACACCCACCTGTCCATGTCCCTCTGCACTGCCCTGGCTGCAGGTGTCTCCTGGACGGAGGGTTGAAGCCCAGTGTCTACGCCGGGTGGAGGCCTCTGTCAGCAAAGCCCGGGGGCCGGTCCACGGGTCTGAGTGTCCGGGAAGCACCTGGCTCTGCGAGGCCCAACGCGCGGCACCGGGGTCGCGGCACCGGGGTCGCACCTGGTCCCTCGGCATCCTGAGAGTGCTTTGGTTGCTGGAGTTCTTTGTCCCCTGCAGTTCAGAGGGACCCGTAGGTCTGAGTATTTTGAGGTGTGACGTCCTAATTGCTTGGCTTCTAGAAATAGTCTGCCCGGTGAGGGGCGTGCACAGTGTATCGAGATTAAGAAAATGGACCAAACTTCCTTTGCATTTAATCAAAGCAGAAAGAATTGCTCTCTATGTTTTAAGTAGGACGTAAGCTAAGTTCAGACCTTAAATGCCTAGAAACCGCTTTCACATTTCCCCAGCCCCTTCGGAGTATTTCTGAAATTCTGTAAATCCCTGAGGGGCGGGTGAAGCAGGCGTTCATGCTCAGCAGTCGTGAACCTGTTCCGAGCTTCGAGCTTCAAAAGCAGAGGAGAATCTTTGTTTCCAATGCCACCAGGTCTTTCTGGGACAACGTGTAAAGCACACAGCGTACCCGCGTCTGACCTGCATGTGCCTGCCACCCCCGAGGGCCCTCACCGAGTGGCTCCCTCGCAGGGCACAGTGTTTGCAGCTTGGGCGGCTGCCGAGGGGCCAGACGGAGCTGCAGGGACAGGCGGCCCTCCCTGCTCACACGTCGGTGGGGGTGGCTTTGTTTGTTTTTAAGTGTATTTTACTGATCATGCCATTACAGTTGTCCCAGTTTTTTCCTCCCCTTCCTCCCCTCTGCCCTGTACCCTCCCCACCTTGGCTCCTGTCCGTGGGTCGTGCCTGTGAGTTCTTTGGCTCCTCCACTTCCCATGATGTTCCTGCCCCCCCCCCCCCACCGTCTAGTTTGGACCTGCCAGTTACGCTTCTTACTCCCTGTACCGCCCCCCCCCCCCATGATAACCTTCCGTGTGACCTCCACTTCTGTGATTCTGTTCCGGTTCTCGTTGTTGGCTTGTTGTTTAGGTTTGGTTGTTGTTGGTTGTGAGTTTGTTCTCATTTTACTGTTCATAATTTTAACATTTCATACAATAAGAGCTTGGTGATGATGAACTTGAACTTGACCTTATTTGGGAAGCACTTTATCTGCCCTTCCATTCTAAATGACAGCTTTGCTGAATAGAGCGATCTTGGGTGTAGATCCTTGCCTTTCATGACTTGGAACACTTCTTTGCAGCCCCTTCTTGCCTGCAAGATTTGTTTTGAGAAATCAGCTGACAGTCTTTTTTTAAAAAATTTTTTCTTCTTTCATCTTTTTAGAGAGAAGGGGAAAGAAATGTCAATTGGTTGCCTTTTTTAAAAAAAGATTTTATTTACTTATTTCTAGAGAGAGGGGAAGATAAGGGAGAAAGAGAGGGAGAGAAACATCAGTGTGTGGTTGCCTCTCACACGTGCCCTGACTGGGAATCGAACCAGCACTGAGTCCACTGAGCCGCACCGTCCAGGGCTCAGCTGACAGTCTTATGGGCACTCCTTTGTAGTTAACGGTCTCGTTTTTCTCTTGATGCTTTAAAATTCTCTTATCTTTAACCTTTTTTTCTTTTTAAATTTTTATTGGTCTCTTTGTGTGACAGTGACGTACACATGGACAGGGTCCACGCCATCTGGATGACCTTTACCTTTTTTTTAAAAAATACTTTTATTTATTCATTTTTAGAGAGAGGGGAAGGGAAGGAGAAAGTGCGAGAGAAACATCAGTGTGTGGTTGCCTCTCATGTGTCCCCTACTGGGGACCTGGCCTGCAACCCAGGCATGTGCCCTGACTGGGAATCGAACCGGCGACCCTTTGCTTCCCAGGCCCGTGCTCAGTCCACTGACCTACACCAGCCAGGGCTGGATGATGTTTACCTTTAATCTTGAGTAACTTAATGATGATGTGCCTTGGTGTGTGCTTCCTTGGGTCCAGCTTCTTTGGGACTCTCCCAGTTTCTTGTACTTCCTGGAAGTTTATTTCCTTTGCCAGATTGGGGAAGTTCTCCTTCATTATTTGTTCGAACAAGTTTTCAGTTTCTTGCTCTTCCTCTTCCCCTTCTGGCCTCCCTGTGATTCAGATGTTGGAACGTTGGAACTTGTCCCAGAGGTTCCTCAGCCTCTCCTCATTATTTTGAATTCTTGTTTCTTCATTCTGTTCTGGTTGCATGTTTATTTCTTCCTTCTGCTCCAAATCATTGATTTGAGTCCTGGTTTCCTTCCCGTCACTGTTGGTTCCCTGTACATTTTTCTTTATTTCGCTTTTGATAGTCTTCACTTTTTCCTCTATTTTGTGACCATGCTCAACCAATTCTGTGAGCGTCCTGATCACCGGTGTTTTGAACTCTGCATCTGATGGGTTGTCCATCTCCTGTCACTTAGCTGCTTCTCTGGGGTTCTGATCTGTTGTTTCATTCGGGCCGTATGTGTCGTCTCGGCCCACCAGTCTGGGCGAACGTCTCTTTAACTCCTTGGTTGTCAGGGTTCTTTGCCGTTGGATTTCCTGGCAGTTCTGGTTGTGTAGGGTTTTTAAGTCAGCTGTTGTCCTTTCGGTGTGAGGAGGCCCAGAGCTCCTGCCTGCGTCTCCAACTTGGCTGGAGCCCTGGTTGCTGCGCTTTCTCCAATAAGGAGTGTCGTGTGGGGATGGCAGCCAGCCGTCGTCTGTGCTAGACAGGCCTGTCCCTTCCCTGTGCCCGAGAACGTCTCCACAGAAGACACACAGCCCTGTGGCCTCTGTCTCTGAAGTTGAGAGAACGTGTGTTTCATTCAGCTCCCACACGCGTGTCTGCGGCACCCTTGCCCGGCCATGCGAGTCCATGCCGACTGTGGAGGCCGGTGCTCTCAGACGCACCACGGGGCCGGGACGGAAACCGGGCTGAGCTCACGGGCAGACGTAGTCTCTGCGGGGGTGGGGCCGGGGTGTCCGCAGAAGGTTCTGTGCCTGCCGTCCACAGGCCCCCGACCATCCCCTGTGCTTTGCTCCTTCGAATGAGACCTGGGACCGTGGGGTGAGCCTGCCCGGAGCCCGGCCGTTCCAACAGGAGACGCCACCCCTGAGGTTCCTGGCTCTCGATAATGAGGCTGCGTGTAGACACAGGTCCCCACTGGACCAGCTCTTTCCTGTTTTCTCCTTGAGAAGCCTGAGGGGTCACGTGACACATCACCCCTCCAGCCTGGTGGTGCCTTTGCCTTGGGGGCCGCGCCCACCCGCTGTGGTGCGGGGGTTGGGTGTCTCAGTGCATGCGGGTCGGGGGGCAGTGTCTGTGGCCCACTGACGGTGTCGAGAGCATTGGGGGTGCCCGCCTGCAGTGGGGGCCGAGTGGCTTTGAGCAGACGGGCCAGGGTGGCGTGTTGGCCAGGGCAGCGCACAGCAGGCCCCAGACGGGGCGAGAGGCCAGGCGCCCGTCCTGCCCCGGCCGTGCACTGTGCCCCGTGAATGGCTCTCTGCGGGTCCCTGTTGGGGACTCAAGCAGTGATGCTAGGCCACCACCCCTGTGTGCCTCCCTCCCCATCCCCCATCTCTGCCAAACAAGTCCCCGGGGCTTTCCTTCCGGAGTCTGGGCCCGTCTGTCCAGAGGACCAACCCCTGGGTGTTGACCTGCACTGTTCTCGGACCACCAAGGGCGGTGGGCCGGTCAAGGCCAGTGGGGAGCAGATAGAAAGGGGCAGCTGGGCAGGGAGGATGATGGTAGCCTCTGTCACGAATGTTTGTCTGTCTGCTGTGGTTGGCGGCCATGGCCACAGAGGGTGTTCAGTGATCATGCAGCGAGTAGGCTGAGCTTCTGTGAACATTCTGCTGAGGACTCTGCACGGCTCCCATTGTCCTGGTCCCCTGACCCCATGGGGCAAATGTCAAGAGCTCCCTGGACATTGCTGGTTCAGAGGACGGAGCAAACACCTCCCTGGCTTGTGCTCCTGGGCCTGCTGGTCGGGGGACCGCCTCTGCACCCAGCCCGGCTCCCTGGAGCTCTTCCCTCCTGGAACCCGCACTCCGGACTCTGCTGCCGCTCAGGTGCCGTCCCTGAGTTTGTGAATGAGAATCCCGTTGTTGAGAAGAAGATCTTAAATTTTTCTAAAGTAAACTGTTTGAAAATGTTACCCTTGAACTGTAGGGTGTCTTGCTCATGGACATGCTCAGTCCTTGGCTGGATTAGCGTTAAATTGGAATAACTGGAGCAGCCTCATGGGCTGGGGGTGGGTGGGGACCTGCAGGGAGCTCAAGTCCTGCCTGGCCCCAGCCTTTGGGCGGCCACTGCGGCTCTTCCTGGGAGTCTGCATCTCGTGGCTCTGTGGCAGGCCGGCCCCTCTCAGTCACCTGGCAGGCGTGGGCCAGCAGGTCCTTGTGGGAGGCCACACGGGCTGTGGGCACGTTCTCCACAGTGGCGCCTCGCCTGCTGGCGGGTCACTTCCAGATTTCAACGTAATGGGCCGGAGTCGAATCTTCTATTAAGATTCTTTTCTCTGGGGCGGGGGAAGGAAGGTGGCTTCGCCCAAGTCTGGGCTCCGGTGTCTGGGAAGTGAGCTCGTGGTTGGGTGGCAGAGGCCCTGTGCTCTGAGTCGCTGGCCTCCCAGAAGACACTGGTTTCCAGGGGGGATACGGCGCCGTGCCCCACGGAGTGACATCCGCTCTCAGAATCCCCTCTCCGAGCTCTTTTGTTTGCACTGTCTTAATTTCTGGAAGGTACTTTATAGTTATTTCTGGGATCTCTTCTGCTTGTTAAAGCCCTTAGAACTGACTTGCTCGTCTGCCCTTTTTGGCTTTGAGGCTCATTGTTTGTGGTCGGCAGTCCTTGAGCTGCATTCGCCCGAAAAGCAGTGGGAACTCTGGCGCCCTCTCTCCTGTGGGAGCAGGCTGGGAGGGCGCCGTGGGGCTGGAACCTGGGAGCCCGAGGCAGACCGTTGGTCGGGCAGCCCCGTCAGAGCCGCCTGTCCGGAGCTCCCAGCCCGACACAGACGCGGAACCGTGTGATCTGGTCTGAGTGCAGACGGGAGTCTCAGGCTGCCCCTCGGTGTTTTCCGACCGCAGGGCCGTGCTCCCCTCGCAGGGGCGCAGACTGTGCAGCACCTGCACTGGTGCCTGTGAGCAGCCCAGCAGTGGGGTGACCGAGGCTCTAAACCTTTCAGTGCTCACACCCCAGGGACGGCGGTGTTCGCCGGGAGTATGCAGCTGCTGGCGGGGGTCAAGCTGTGCACGGGTCGGACCCTCACCAACCACCCCCACTATGAGGACAGCGGCCTGCGGGCACGGACCAAGGCGGTGAGTGCCTGCTGTGCCTTCTCCGGCTCCTTCGAGGGCTGCGAGGGGACATGGGGTGCAAGTGGTCAGAGAGTGCCCTGTGTGGGGCCAGGCGGGGAGCCGGGTGCCCCTCGGGAGGCCGCAGTGTGCCCGGGGCGGACTCCCGGCCGCTGAGCACGCCCCGCCCTGCCCCGTGCCGGCCGCCCCCACAGGTCTACCAGATCTACGCGAAGAGGCCCCCGGAGGAGGTGTACGCCCTGCTGCGGGCCCTGGGCACCGACTACGTTGTCCTGGAGGACAGCGTGTGCTACGAGCGCAGGCACCGGCGCGGCTGCCGGCTGCGGGACCTGCTGGACGTGGCCAACGGACACGTGAGTGCACGGCTGGGGGTCCCGCGTGCCTGTGCCCCACGGAGCGACACCGCACCACGGCCTCTCTGCGTCCCTCGGGCTGCGGAACCGGTGGGCGAGTGCGGGGCCCTCCCCGGGCAGGGCAGGCAGAGCCTGTCCTCCGCTGGCCCCCAGGGGGCTCTGCCCAGCATCCACAGTGAAGGGCTCGCTGCCAGCACGTTCGCCTCATTAAAGCCCGTGCTCTTGAGCGTCGCCGGGTGGTGGCGGTGCCGTGGCCTCCCTGTGTCCTCATGTGTCCCTTTGTCCAGCAGGCAGGATGCTCTTGGGCCTGCTCACCGCAGGGCAGAGGGACAGGGGCCTGTCCTAGAGCCCGAGGGCCACACCCCAGGGTCAGGAGACGTGAGGTCTGATCTCTCAGCAAAGTCCGAGTGCACGGCACATTGTTACGAACGGGTCACACGCTGTCACGGGACCCCCAGAGCACGCGCCTCAGAGCCGCCGTCCCCCCTTTCGCCACCTGCTGTGCCCACTGCTGAGGTGCTGGGCGCCTGTCAGCCTGCGCGCGCCAGCCATCACCTGCTGCGGGAGGCGCACACGGCTGTGCCTGCGGGGGGGGGGGGGGTCCAGGTGCAGGCTCCGCCCAGGCGGCACCGCTTCCCGCAGCTCTTGAGCTCCAGGGAGGAACAGACCAGAGCCACGCGTTTCAGTGTTTCTTTGCCTGTGGCCCTGTCTAGCCAGGCCGTCCGGTGAGCTGGGAGGGTGGTTTCTGTCCTAGTGTCCCTCTCGGACTTCCCTTCTGGGAGAGGAGTGGACACACAGAGGTCTGGGCCACCCCGGCTTTGCCACAGACGGTGGCTCCTCGCCTTGGCGCTCACCTCTGTGGGTCGGGGAACCGGGGGACCCCCAATGGCCACTGACATTGAAACCAGGCCACGCAGGTCCACTGAGGAGCCCAACGCCTGTCCTCACGGGTGTTGTCTCTTATAAATGTGAGCTTTGTTTTTTTTTCACCGAATTGCGTGGGGCTTTGCTTTGGCTCCAGGTGATGGACGGCCCGGGAGAGAATGACCCAGACTTGAAGCAGGCAGGGCACCCCCGCTTCTGCGAAGAGGTCAAGCGGGACCTGCCGCCCTACAGGCAGCTCTTCACACGGGTATTCCAGAACAAGACGTTCCACGTCTACAAGCTGGCCAGGGACAAGTGACGGCTTCCTCTTCCCTGACACACGAGACTCCCTGGGGACGAACCTCTGCAGATGGCGTTTCGTGTGGGACCAGGTGGCCCGGACCCTCGCGCTGTGACACAAGGAGGCACACAGATGTTTACACGGCTGCTCCCGTCTGTGGAGTGTCTCGCACCAGCTCCGTGCCGTCTCGCTTGTCTGTGTCTCCCTTCCACGCGTCCCAGCTGCGTCTGGTTGGCGTCCGCAGAGTGACCCAGGGCTCTGTGGTCGGGGACAGCGCCTGCTCCACAGGCGGCCGGCATGGCCCGCTCTCTGTGGGAGCCCACGGCCTGTGCAGGGTTGGGAGCCTGCGAGTTTCCAGTGGGCCGGAGCCAGCGACGGGGTGCCCAGCTCCCCGACTGTTATCCCCAGAGAAGCCCAGCTGGTGGCTTTGTGGAAGCCCTTCGGCACCACCTGGACGTTTTATAATGTTTTCCAACGGTCACGCCTTTAACATTCCAAAAAGAATCACGTTAGGTCTTTGTAACCAAATCTCCTTTGTGCTCCGTCTGGAATGTGATGAGCCACATGTACCGTGCACTGCCGTGTGCACACGGGCGGCTTCCGGGCCCACACGGCAGTCTCTGAAGGGCAGTGCGTGTGGTCGCGTGTGTTGTCACCGTCCTCTGTGGCTGTTCTCAAACCTGCGTCCCATTTCACTGGTCCTGCCAGAAAGATCACTTTTCTTCATTTCTTACTTGTTTAAATTGACTGGGTTTGCAAAATTTTGTAAACAGTTTGTTTTTAGCCTTTGTATTTTTTACAGCCTAGAACCTTGCAGAATCCGAATATTTTTAGAATATTGTATCTTAACTAATGATTAATACAGTATTTTTGGCGGAGTGCATTTCCTACCAAGCCTGGCTGTGGTCTCACTGTGAGGGCCTGGGGCTGAGGCTCCCGCCCCAGAAACCCAGAGCCTCGGAGTCCTGCTGACCTATAAGCACCCAGGGCGCCCCGAACGCCTGCTCCGAAGGCCTGCTGATTGCTTTTACGAGTGACCTCTGACAGTGGGGACGTGGAAGGGTTGTCGGTGGAAGCGTCTTGTGCACTTAACGAGGTTGAGATGGCTGAAGACACAGGCCCCCCCCTCGCCGGCCCGTGACGCCCCTGCCTCCCTGCAGCCTTGGAGAAGTCAGTCAGCACCGGCCTCCAGGTGTGGGTGGCCTGCGGCCCGCAGCTCTCTGCTCAGTATCACTCACCAAACAGTACCTTGAAGCAGGCTGGACAGTGTTTGGACTCATGGGTACTTGGCTTTTATCAAAACCTACTAAAATAAAAATTGGCAGTAGCTGGGTGTATTAAATTATGCAACTGAAACTCCTGAATTACAGCTTTTCTGTGTCTCTGCAGTTTGGGGTGTTGAGTAGCAAGCCCTCAGGGCGGCCGGGGCCTGAAGGGGTGGTTCTCCCCCCCCAGCACCCAGTGGCCTGGGCCCCGCGCACACGGAGGCCCCTCGTGGCGAACTGCAGGGCTCCGGGTTCGTGGATTAAGTCCCGTCACCTCCAAGTTCGTTCCTTTGAAACCTCCCTGTGTGTGTCAGTTGGGGCATTTGGATCGCCAAGGTTCTCAGGCCTGGCCTCACCGTCGGGGGCGGTCAGAGACCCTTCCTCAGAGCCCCGGTGTCATTCTTGCCAACACATTCGGCGTCCAGTCTTCAGTGGAAGTGCCCCAAAACCCCTTCAGGCCACCCACAGCGTCTGGACTGTGGGCAGCACACAGCCCTCTGTCCTGGGGACCAGGGCCCTGCAAGTCACGGGAAGATGTCCATGCTCCTTGGTGTCCCTGTCATGAGCTTCTAATGGAGCATGGGGACGGGGTGGCGGTGGGGGGGGACTGACCACCAGCTCCCACTGACCTGAAGCTCGTGCCTGTGGCCTGAGCCCCCCATGCACAACCCAGTGGCTGCTGATACTAGATGACCTCACGGTCCATCTGCCTTTGGTTTTGCTTCAGAGCGAGCTCCCTGAAGGCCCCCCACCGACCGGCTCCCCAGCCCCCTCGGCAGCCTCACCGCCCGGAGCTGCCTGCCCAGCCCCTCGGGGGCTGCGCCTCCGGCCTCGGCTCTGCACCCCGCTGGGCTGCACCCCCGCTGCTGGCTGGGGGGCCGACAGCTGGCTTCCTGCGGACCCCGTGGCTCGGGAGCAGCGTGTCTTCCCTCCAAAGTGCTCCGGCTCTGGGTCCTCCCTCGGGGCGCAGGCCCAGCCGAGGAACACAGTTTCGCGCACGACCAGAAGGGATGTGAGTGAGGAGGGGCTGGGAAAACGTGTGTGGCCCCCTGGGGTTTTCAGACCTGCTCTCGAGAGCAGAGCTGCCGGCAGACGCTCCAACAGGCCGCAGGTTGGAGGCCCAGCAGAGACCCAGGTGGCATGTCCAACGCCGGGCATGAGCAGGGTGGCAGGACATCTGGGCTCCAGAGCAGCTGGCTGGGCTCCCATCCCCCACCTGCCGCACCAGCACCTCTCCCACAGCTCACACCTGTGGGCCCCTGGATGGAGACCCCGCGTGACCAGTGATGGGGCCCTGTCTGCGCTGTGTTATTGAGTGGACCTGCCTGGAGGTGGGAGGTGAGGCAGGCACTTCCGTCTGCCTCATGGGCTCTCCGCTACCAGGCACGGAGGGCCACAGCTGGGTCCAGGGTAGGACTGGCCAGAGGCATCCTGAGGTTGGTGCCGGGCCAGGCAAAGGTGGGCGGCGGGCACCTTTCTGGGGTGGGGCCTGGGTCAGGGGCTCTGCTTGTCTATTTCACCCATCTTTGGGGACATAGCTCTGTGCTCGGTTGTTCTGCCTGTAACCCCTGCCTCACCTGGGTCTCCCCTGGCAGCCGAGAGCTCCAGGAACAGTGGCGACTTGCCAGTCTTGTTCATCGACTCCCCCACCCCCCTCCCAGCCCAGAGCAGGGCCCGGAATGCTACCTACACTCAGTAAATAGCGACTGAATGAAAAAGGGGCTTCACTCAGCAGACACACTCCCAGGCACGGACGTTATTTGAGAAGCTACTTGAAAGCTGTTTTGGGGGGAGATCGGGCAGCAGATGGAGAGCTGGGGGCCAGGGAGAGAGAGGGCATCGTGCTAGGGACTTCGCCTTGAGCTTCAGAATTCGTGAGCACTCAGGAGCTGTGAGGTGGGCCGAGGTGCTCGGCTTCTCTGTGCCCTGTTCCTTCATCCGTGACCTGGGGACAGTGACATCTGCCTCACAGGCTGTCGGGAAGTTGGGAGGACGCACTGTTCGTGCCTCGCCAATGCCCGCACTCGGGGTGAAGGACTGCGACAAGAGTTGATTATGATGGCAAAGGTTCAGGCCGGACGGACGTGGAATGGGCATGGAGACCGGGCCCCTGCGAACAGAGAACATGTAGCCTGTGAGGGCCAGCGAGCGCCCTGGTCCTCGGGTGGGCGTGTCCTGGTGGGGAGCACAGGCCGCTCTGGGTGCCGGCCCCAGTGACGGGCAGGGTGGCATCAGGGGTCACACCGACCCGGGGCCCCAGCACACACGGAGAAGGGGCTGCTGCCCTCACCCGGCCCGTCCATCGGGGGCTGTTTCGGGACCGACTGGGCACGTCGCGGGAGGCCCCACGGGCTTCAGCCTGTTTTTCCCACGTGTAGATTTTCTTAGCAACTGAATTTGTGCCAACACCCTAGGGTTTAGTGATATTTTGGTTAAGAAGTTCAGAAGACTTTGGACTTGGCTTTGACAAATTGAAAAGTGAATCAGATTTGCATTATGTAAGTGGCTTATTCAGATGAATGCTTCTATCTCTTCAGATTTAAAATTTCAAAAGCTCAAGATTTGCTATTTCGGCAGCAACAACGACACCCAGGGTTTGGTTTCTACAGGTCTCATCTTAGACCTACGTCCCTGACACTTCGAGACATAGGGTGCTAACAAGTCTATTCAGTCCGAAATGTCTGGACCGCCTGAGCTTGGTGGCCGTGCCACAGTGATGCCGCAAAGAAAGACAAAGCAGGTGGTGGTCCCTGATGTCATCGAGGGAATCGGCCACCCTTCTGAAAACAGCTCAGCTGGCCGGGGCTTGTCCGCACACCAAAAGGTTGTGGGTTCAATTCCCAGACAGGCACATACAGAGGTTGCTGGCTTGGTCCCCTGTGGAGAGCATGTGGGAGGCAACAGCTTGATATTTCTCTCTCTCTCTCTAAAATTAATAAACATATCCTTGGGTGAATGCTAATTCTCCCAAGGGTCACGTGGTCACCAGACACAAGCCACCTTCCCCGGTTTCCCGATGGAGCCTTGTCTGTGAGCAGAGGGCTCGGGTCTCGGGGGGTGGCTCCCCCGTGTGTTCTGTGCCTTGAGGAGTCCGGGCAGGGTCCCGTGGTCCCCCTTCTCTCCATCCTGTGCATTTCACCAGGTGCTTTTAAAGGGCCGCTCCTGCTGACCCTCAGGGGCAGCTCTGCTCTGCCGTCAGTCAGCTGACAGGGTAGACTGAGGGCTTCTGGGTGCGGCCCTGTGTGTGGGCCCCACGGGGTCCAGGTGGCAGCGAGTGGACCCAGTGAAGCCCGGGAAAAATGGGTTTTTCGAGAGGACACCAAACGTGCATGTTAATGGGAAATAATTATATGTGAAAATATCTATGAACTTATTGGGAAAATTTGCCAGGATTTGTATGGTGTTTAAGGTTTTTCTCAGCACAGGGATCGTGTGACTTTTATGCAGATTAACATTAGTGCCCTGCTATGCAGGTGCATAGTGACACCGGTGTTGGCACGGAAAGTGCAGATTTTTTATGCTTTAGTGGGAATAGCACAGAACAGAACCGTCTCCATAGTGAGCAGCAGCCGACCCTCAGCGGGCCTGGCTCGGAGGCCTGTGTCCGGTTTGCCGAGGGAGCCGGGGCGGTGAGCCTGGCCCCGAGGCACAGTGCCAGGGACACGGTGCCCTGCCCACCGAGCTTCCCGGTTCCGGGGCCACCACCTCGCCTGCCCTCATGGGAGCCGCTGGGTTTCCCAGCTGCCCCGGTGGGGCCTCCTGCAGCTTCCTCTGCACGTGGTGGGGACTTCCTCTTCCTCAGGTCCCTGCAAAGAGCCCTGTTCGCTGGGGAGCCGTCCCTGACGGGCCACAGCTCTGTCACGCCGCAGTCTGTGTGGTTGTGACATGGACGTCACCCCGTCCCTTAACGGTGAGTTTGGGGCCGGCGTGAGTGCGTCAGCGTTGTGCCTGGCACCCGTGTATGTTAGTGAATGAATGAGGCGACGGAGATTCTCGGGTGGTTCAGCATCAGACCGCTGTGTGGCTCAGTCCACGCAGGCTGCTGCAACAGAAAACCACAGGTGGGGGTGGGGGGCTGCCAGGCGACAGGCGCTGTTGTCTCTCAGTC